GGAGATGTGATAGTGGTAAAATAGTGGTAAATAAGGTGGAGATGTGAATAGTGGTAAATAAGGTGGAGATGTGAATAGTGGTAAATAAGGTGGAGATGTGAATAGTGGTAAATAAGGTGGAGATGTGAATAGTGGTAAATAAGGTGGAGATGTGAATAGTGGTAAATAAGGTGGAGATGTGAATAGTGGTAAATAAGGTGGAGATGTGAATAGTGGTAAATAAGGTGGAGATGTGAATAGTGGTGAAGCAGGTGGAGATGTGAATAGTGGTCAATAAGGTGGAGATGTGAATAGTGGTCAATAAGGTGGAGATGTGAATAGTGGTAAAGCAGGTGGAGATGTGAATAGTGGTAAATAAGGTGGAGATGTGAATAGTGGTAAATAAGGTGGAGATGTGAATAGTGGTCAATAAGGTGGAGATGTGAATAGTGGTAAATAAGGTGGAGATGTGAATAGTGGTCAATAAGGTGGAGATGTGAATAGTGGTCAATAAGGTGGAGATGTGAATAGTGGTAAAGCAGGTGGAGATGTGAATAGTGGTAAATAAGGTGGAGATGTGAATAGTGGTAAATAAGGTGGAGATGTGAATAGTGGTGAAGCAGGTGGAGATGTGAATAGTGGTAAATAAGGTGGAGATGTGAATAGTGGTAAATAAGGTGGAGATGTGAATAGTGGTAAATAAGGTGGAGATGTGAATAGTGGTAAATAAGGTGGAGATGTGAATAGTGGTGAAGCAGGTGGAGATGTGAATAGTGGTAAATAAGGTGGAGATGTGAATAGTGGTAAATAAGGTGGAGATGTGAATAGTGGTAAAGCAGGTGGAGATGTGAATAGTGGTAAAGCAGGTGGAGAAGTGAATAGTGGTGTGAAGCAGGTGGAGATGTGAATAGTGGTAAAGCAGGTGGAGAAGTGAATAGTGGTACAGCAGGTGGAGAAGTGAATAGTGGTAAAGCAGGTGGAGATGTGAATAGTGGTGAAGCAGGTGGAGATGTGAATAGTGGTGAAGCAGGTGGAGATGTGAATAGTGGTAAAGCAGGTGGAGAAGTGAATAGTGGTACAGCAGGTGGAGAAGTGAATAGTGGTAAAGCAGGTGGAGAAGTGAATAGTGGTACAGCAGGTGGAGATGTGAATAGTGGTAAAGCAGGTGGAGAAGTGAATAGTGGTACAGCAGGTGGAGAAGTGAATAGTGGTGAAGCAGGTGGAGATGTGAATAGTGGTAAAGCAGGTGGAGAAGTGAATAGTGGTACAGCAGGTGGAGAAGTGAATAGTGGTACAGCAGGTGGAGATGTGAATAGTGGTACAGCAGGTGGAGATGTGAATAGTGGTAAAGCAGGTGGAGAAGTGAATAGTGGTACAGCAGGTGGAGAAGTGAATAGTGGTACAGCAGGTGGAGAAGTGAATAGTGGTACAGCAGGTGGAGAAGTGAATAGTGGTACAGCAGGTGGAGATGTGAATAGTGGTAAAGCAGGTGGAGAAGTGAATAGTGGTAAAGCAGGTGAAGATGTGAATAGTGGTAAAGCAGGTGAAGATGTGAATAGTGGTAAAGCAGGTGGAGAAGTGAATAGTGGTGAAGCAGGTGGAGATGTGAATAGTGGTAAAGCAGGTGGAGATGTGAATAGTGGTAAAGCAGGTGGAGATGTGAATAGTGGTAAAGCAGGTGGAGATGTGAATAGTGGTAAAGCAGGTGGAGATGTGAATAGTGGTAAAGCAGGTGGAGATGTGAATAGTGGTGAAGCAGGTGGAGATGTGAATAGTGGTGAAGCAGGTGGAGAAGACCGTTTTTTCTGCCGAGGACACCGAGCCAACGAGCCAACGAGCCAACGAGCCACTCTACGGAACATGATTTGCAGAGAACGGTTTTCTGAGGAACCATAAACCGTGATCAAATGTGACGCTCCGCAGGTACAGGGGACTGCTGAGCCGGTCCACGTCTCTGCTATAAAGCTGCTTTTATAGAGGATCTGTCTGTTGATATACTGCTGAAATAAAAACGTTACACATGAGTCGATGACAGTAAAGCTCTCCCTTTTTCATTTCAGAGGACTACATGAATTCCCTTTATGAGAGCTGACCGTGCAGTTTAGCTGATTGGTGATTAAAAAAGTACGTCTGCCTATGATCTGGATATCTGCCAAAGGAAAATGATATTTTTTTAATACCACAGTTATATATTTACATATATATTATAATCCTCTTTCATTTATTCTGTGGAAGCCCGATAACCTGTTTTGCTGGGCTTCAGGTTACACCAATGTCATTTATATCAGCATCAACACATTATAACTTCCCACAAATGCAGTCGTTTTGTTAGTGATGTGCAGACAGAATACTCAGTATGTTTAAAAGACCGATAAGGGCCGTAATCACTGGATCAGAAGAAAAAAGTAGCATTTCATCCGATCCCAGCCTTAACTATCTCTTCAAGGGGACATCAAATGCTTATTTTCAGGTTTATATTTGTATTTAGTGTCTGTGACATGTCTCCATGCGTTAATGTTCAAAAAGGTATTTATTTTTCTCATACTGCCTGTGCTGCAGCACCTCTTTTCACCCTCTGTCTGAAACCAGAGCCCAGTCTGCTCTGATTTGTTAGCTGGGCCAGCTCTGTTGTGATTGGTCAACCTCTTAGAGATGCCCCGCCCCTTAGCCCATCACAAACAATGTGTTGGAGCGCTGGCCATAAGAGCGTAAGTGTTACATGGGGAAGTCACTGTGTTACTGAAGCAAACAAAGGAGTTCAATGGAATGAATTCACAGTTAACGCATGACTGACTGCATCCAGTCAAATATATTATTAAGAGCCTAGTTGTTTGAGAAAGTAGAAAAGACGGATATTCAAGATTGCTGTATAGGATATGAAAGAATGTAATGGATCGAATCCTACATTTTATTGCATTTGCTTCCCAGAATGGCCCCTCCAGGCTACTGTCCTCTGATACCATTAGGGTGTGTGTGTGATACAGGTGTCAGGTGACGTAAAGGACAGTAAGTCACATGGCTGGTGTACGTTTCCCTTAACAGTTATAGCTGTGCAAATAACAAGCAATGACAGTGAATAAATACACTTCTAATCATTGCAGTTAAAGCCTTTTCATCTAAGTCCATTGAAGTGACTAAGCTGTGTAACAGACATAATCAGTAAGTAAATAATCAGTAAACATCTCATGTCTTCTCATTACCAGTAAGGTTGTAAGACCAGTTTGTAAAAGAACAAAAGCAGAAACTTGTTAAGAAGGCAGAAACCCCTCGAGAATGCAAAAAGGGTACAAGAGAGGAATAATATGTGCAACACAATATACCTGTCAAACCTGAGAGTCCAAACCAACAAATGAAAGGAGGGAGGCTTATAGAGAGCGGGCATTAAGAGAAGTGAGACGTGTAAGACATTTGGAAGTAATAAAAAAACAAGATAAAAGGAAATGTGCGGGAGACGGCAGAGAGAAGGTGGGATTAGCAGGATTTGTATTATCTCACTGTAGAGATCAGAGACTTGTGCTCAGGGGGGGGGATTTGATCTGAAGAGAAAGAGAAATGCAGGCTGCTCCACAACAAAGGAAGCATGCAAAAGAAAAGACTAAAAGATAGGAATTGATTGATGACATTTCACAAAGACGGAGATTAGGGTGGTCCTTAGTGCCATGTACATTTTCAAATTCATTTATTTTAAGCTCCAACCACGGGAATGTGTTATGATAGTCAAGAAAACTCTCCTGGTGAATTTTATTCAAATTCCAACAACTTTTACCCCTCCCTCATCAACCTTGAAGTTTAGCCTCACGTAGGGTGGTCCTTAAAATTGAAAGTCGGAAAGTCTAAGCTCCAACCCCCAGAATTCATTCTATTAGTCAAGAAAACTCTCCTGGAGAATTTTTTCCTCAATCTGACAACATTTACCCCTCCCTCATCGACCTGGGCATCGAGCAGGACTACTTCAACATGGCATTACGTGCTACATTAATATGGAGAGCCTTCTCAGGTATTTCATTCTGTGGAATTGTAAAAACACATAATCCCATCTGGTTCTTTTATAACAATAAATATGGACCAGTGCAATATCCAAATCAGTCAAAGTAATTGCAATTAGTTATTAACAACTCTGAGCTTTTTTTATATTCATAACTGGTGGATTCATTCAGCAAATCTCTAAACTCTAATGCCTCACCTTTAATTTAAAAGGGGTTCACTTATTAGCTGATGTCGGTGGAGAACGTTATCTAACACTCCCGTGGGCGTTTGTTGAGATCTGTGTAATGTCAGAGCACATGACTCACATCCTTTCCATACACATCAAACCATTTAGAGAATCTCTATGGATTGGAAGCATATGCTTTTGTTATGTTTTTCCACATATTTATTCATGTATGCACTCTCATGTATCACCAAATTCACTGTGAATGAAGATGTTATTCATATGTTCTATGACTGCCAACAAACCATCATTATGTTGTATGGCAGGGATGTGTATGGACCTAAAAAGGGGTGTATTGTATTGATGATTGAACACACTAATGATGTTTAATAAACAGCTAACATGCAGAGACTTTATTTGATGAGCCCTCTCAAGTATTTGAATGCATATGGTGCCGTGTTCTTATACTATGACAGCTCACATTATGATTATAATGATGCAATGACCATACCCTTTTTTTGCACATTCTTACTTAACTTCTTATGTTTATATACATATTTGTAATTTGTTATTAATCCATTATTATATTCTAAAATGGAGCAATCGTCAGAATACCTTATTTCCCTCTGGATAATAAAGTACTCTGATTCTAATGTATCTCTTTATATGCATCCTATTAAAATATGATTGCCAATACTAAGACCAACAGAGGCAGATTACAGCCTTGTTCAAATTAAAACACCTTGTGACAGCAGCCAAGTTTAGATTTAGTTTAACATAAGTTAAGCATCAGACCATTATGTTCCATACTGATGCTGGTTAAACTCCGTCGAGAGCCCTGATTTGCACACTTCACTTCAGGCCCACTCACCCTCCAGCAGGACTGTCTCCGGTGTTTTCCGTTGTTGTACGAGTGACTGTGAGCATCACTGAGGGTCAGAGAGATGAAGTCCTTTCTGGAAGGCGGATACATCCTCTGGTCGTGGCAGACAGACGTAGCTCATAGAAGCTGCATCCAGAAAAGTCAAAAACATATTAAAATCTGAAACAAAAATCTGAAAGTATAGTCAATCTGATAATTTTGCTGAAATCAGATAACTGAGTTTATGATCAATCCATGACTCTGAAGATATTTTCTAATTTTTCCTTCATTACTAGTATGGTTTAGTGTCTGTTAGTACTTTTTTTTTTAAATTGTCAAGTTAATTTTCAGCTGCCACAATGTAAACGTGCACCTGAATGAATAGTTAAAACATTCCAGAGAAGAGGTTAAGGATTGTTTCTGCTTGATTTGAGTTGTTTAGCTAAGAGAAATAGCTTAGCTGAATTGATCAACAACTTAACTTTCTTCCACTCAGGTTGACTGTTGAATGTGCATTTAGCTTTTTGCAATGTAACACACATGCATACATACTGCTGTTGATTTATTTCAGTTATGCATAGCAAATTCTCCATTGTTTCTTTATATTATATTGCTCACATCACAATGTTGAACATAACATTGTAATTATTATCATAAACTTCAGTACCATGGCAGCTGAAGATCTTTAGTAAGGTTTTGGGAAAGGGCGCACTTGGAAAACACTTATCAGATTCAGCTAATATCGATTGTTACCGCTTTATCACAGACTAAAATAGGAAAGAGCTTCAAAGGAAAGCTTAATGGAATATCATTTTGACAATTAAATACCATGGGCTTTTCTTGCAGCTCGTAAGTTCACTTAAAGCACACAGTGACGTTGCAATTATCATAACTGTGAGAATGCACTCAAAAATGCAAAGTAAGTTAAACAAAAACAAATAAATAGCTACATGGCAGCCCGTTGCTGTCAATAACAGCTAATTGTATTTCCATATTTTGTTCATTTGACACCTCGGTTACAACTTTCGACACATCACTGACGTGCTGTTTAAACCCATCGATACACAATATAAATATTGCAACATAAGCTGCCTCCCCCTCACCTTTGAGTCAGGTTGGTAGCCTCACAGTGACACCTAAAAGCTAAGCAGCTGTTAGCTACCTCCGAGAGGCTAGCTTGCTTCTTCGGCTTGTTCCTGAATGAAAAGTGACGCTGTTCGGCAGAAGGAATATTAAATATGCAACACAGTAGTCCGTCCGACTGTCACACACGACGACAGGCAGCTACATGAAATGTCAAACGAGAGAAACTGAGGGAAACATGGCTGAAGTTAGCAAGGGAACAACCACTGACAGATGCGGAAAAGTGAAGAGCTCGAGCGATGATGCTGCGCGTCACGTGACGTGTGCACGTAATGTGACGCTTTGAAAGTTAACCCTTAACAAGCCAAACAGTGTTCACCGCTGATATATTATAAACGCAACCTTTTCATATTATTTCAGGTCATTTGCATTTCATTACAGCCGTTCTTGAATTCCTTAAAAAATATGGTATATAGACCCAATTTAATTGATTAAACCCAAAACAAATATATATTTTTTTTAAGCCCGATTTTGGGACTTACTGACATTACATTAAAAAAACAAAAACTGCATGAAGTTTACTGGTCCACATCCCATCTGTCAAATTATACCAGATCTACAAGGTGACATGTTTTTTCATTAAATAAATGTACACATAACTTAATTGCCTGAGGGATGTCTTAGGATCATTATGTGTTTACTTCTGTCTATTAATCATTCCCTTATTACATATTCACAGTTCATCCAAATGAGGTTTGCTAGGCCTGTTAAATGGCTCATTATACCATAAAAGCAGTCCGCAATGAAAGATTGACTTTGACAAATCATAAAACCATGTCAGACTCGTGCACTCATGACCTCTTGTGGGTGAAATTAGTCTAAAATGTTATCAAATTAAAAAACAACCCAGGGAAGTAATCGCTGTTTAGTTATTCCAATAACATGCACTGCGGGGAACTGTTGGAATGCCAAGTCCTTTCCCTACAGTATGTAATGAAATTATAAAGCTTTCATAAGTTAATACTGAGCAGTACAAGTAAATAGGACATTGTTTATGATGACAGTGGCATGAAGAAATAAAGGAGAATCTTTCAAATATATTTAAAAAAAACGGTTAAACAAATAATTACGATTTATCCAGCATATATATTTTCCAGAACTACTAAAAAGATTGACAAATCCTAATGTAATTGTGTCAATAATGCAACCTGCAAAATAAACTGCATTAAAAAGTACAACAACTCCATTTAGATGTTAACCATCATTTGGACAGAATTTCATTTGTCGAATAATTTGATTTACGACCAAATAATCTTGAGCCAACAATAGGTTATGTTTTTTTTAATTCAGCTGACACAATTCTTTGAATGAGCTGATGAGGGGATCACACAAGACAAATGTCCAGCATGTCATTTTGAATATCTAAAAATGATAATTTGTACAAAACAAGGTTACAATGATCAGTCTCAGCCAGCTAAGGCAATCATATGAAATGATAAGACAAATCAAAATATAAAAAGAATACACCAGGCCAGAATTGCATACAAAGCGTACATTTCTTACTTTCTTACTATAAGCACTTGCACTTATCAGCCTTGTGAAGAATTTGCAAACCCTCTAAATATCTACAGCTGATCATTTGGTATAAGCATGTTTTGTTTCGTTTCTGCAGAGCTGCTGTTTTGGTTGAGACGTTGAGACCACAAACTCCCTGAGATCTCACGCAAATGAATCCTCTTCAGCCTGCAAACCGTGCACACCCCTCATCACTCACTGCTGACACTCTGTAGGACACAAACACGGAATCCTGATGCTGCAGAGAAGATACAAAGCTTGCTTCTTTTCTCTGGATCCAAGCACTTTCCAGATGGATTGAGGCACAAATGCAGGTCAACAGCAATTACTCAATGCTAAGTGGTGGTGATAGGCACAAAGTAGCTCTGCAGGACACGGCTACTGCACTTGGCAAACGTATGCACAATCTTTACAGTACATTGAAATACATTACAGTATTGTTTGGCGTGGAAATAAGTTGATGTGTCAGGACTGGCTGCTAAACTTTGGTCTTTAGTTTACATGAGAATACCAGAGATAAGCAATCTCCAAAGTACACTTGAATTCAACATTTCTCTTGTTCAAACAACAATAATCTAAACCCGTTGTAGAGTGTGACCGTCTACAAAATATGAATAAGGCAACAGCTACATTTGTATTTCATAGACCTTAAACTGGGGAACATGGTTGCTTGAAAATCAATCTGAATGTACAATATTTCATAGTGAAATATTGTGTCACTAATCTCTCATCTTTGTTATTGGTTAAAATGGTAAAAATGCTGATTAGCCACATTTTTTGCCTTTTTTCTTGAAGACAAATTGTGCAGGAGTTCACACACAGTTCAAGAATAGCATGATGTTTTTTTGTTAATGGCAGAACCAACTCAATGTTGGTTTTGGTCTTTTCACAGATTTTTCCTTTAACCTTTCTTTAGTCTTCTTTTAATGCCAAACTACAAACCTAAAGAAACTCACGATAGCAACAGCAGCTTTAGTTCCCATGTGTGTACTGTATCATTAATGTATCATACCTGAGACGTAAAAAGTAAAACCATACAATAACATGAAACTGTTAAAACTATCTTGTGCATTTTACAAAATGAGGAAAGTTGGTGCATCCTAAGCTAGTCTGCATAAGATCATGTGATTGTTTTAGGGATTAAAGAAATAATCTTTCAGATAAAAAGTGATCAGCACCTTGATAAAAGTCACCCATCTGAGGTCACTCACAGTACCACAGTAGGGTTTTACTGGCCTGGTCACTGGCCAATGGGACCACAGTAGCTGTGTTCCCATGCAGAACACATTGTTACAGCTTTTATATACACAATGGGCCGGCTATGACAGAGACCCAAAAATACATAACAAAAATCAAACAGAGAAAATAAACAATTGTATATAAAGGATAAGAAAATACATACATTTTTAAATTATTCAATACAAGATAAACGTCTCTGTAAACAAACTTGACTTCTCCGTGGAAAGAAAGCCTGAGGACGCTTGTGTCCTCTCAAATTCATGAATACGGAGTCACTCAAATTGAGAGTTCGAATCCCCAAAAACAAGAGGAAAGGGAGGGACATCTTCAGGAATGGGAAGAGATGTTCCGGTTGTCCTCTAGGTGTCCATTACTGAACGGGTTAGTGTCCTAGCCCTTGGTGTTCTAGGACTGCATTGATTTTTTAGCACCTTTAGCTGAAACACACAGGTCCCACAGTGAAGCTGAACTGATGTGTCGAGTTGCCGCCACCCATCAGTGCTACGTCTCTCAGAGGAAGCAGCTGGAGGTCCTCAAACTCAAACACAGACTCCCGAGTGACAGAAACGCTCTCCTCTCCAGGCTGAGACACAGGGGGCAGAAGACATCATTATCATAATTACATTTCCTGTGAACCCTAACATTTTTATGTGTCAAGACTTTTGGTATTTTGTTTGATTTCAACTAACCATTATTTTGTATTTCATAGCTTTCTCTTAGATTTAAATAATTGTAAAAATCCCGTAACATACCACGCAGTCTTTAACTGCTCCAACAAAACTCTGCTTCCTGCTGTCAGTGAGGAACTTGATGTCTTGGTCCACGGGGCCCAGTTTGTGTCCTGGGTGGCAGGAGAAGGTCAGATTCTGGAGCGCAGTGCTGCTGTGCAACCTCAGGAAACGCATCTGCACCACATTAGCTCCTGGATAGTAAAACTAGTGAGAAATAACAACAATTTCATGGATTATCAATACAGGCTGGTACGGAAGAACAGTAACAATGATTTAAAGGTAAAAACAATCATTAAGAGAATGGAAATTACAAAACGTCATTCGTCAAATAATCAATTGTGTGACAGAAAACAATAACAACTGAAAAAGCTTCAAAACCTCCTTCAGATAGAAACCTTGTAATTGCAAAGGGTTAAATGGCCCTGTATTTGCACTGGTAAGCAAACAGCACCTTTGTGCTTCCATGTGTATTTGCAAGTATTTAAATAAGATAGCCACACAGAGTCACAGTCAAATTACAGTGTCACATATATAAGAAACAGAAGCAAATGTATTGCCTGCTATCAGACTGTGAAATTAAATCCCAAAACTCAGTCTCTCTCTCATGTTTAAATGTTGCCTGAAGTTTGGAGTTTTTTTATCAGAATCAGAATAACTTTATTCGTCCCAAAGAGGGGAAATGTACAATTGCTATTCTTCTGCCTATTGCATGATAAGCACAAAGGCAACATTTTTGTTTCTTACACGGATATTTGGCAGAAGAAATAGTTTAAATTGACCTCAGCTAGTGATGAGCATCAGATGGTGCTATCCGCTGACACAATCCATTCTATGTGATTTTGCCCATTAATCTGTTAATCATATGTCAGTGTTTTTTAGATGTTGTGTATTTCTATTGACCTTAAGGTTCAAAAGCACCACTAAACAAATACATATTAAGTTTTGGTTGTATCTTTCTCTCACCTGAAAGCCCTGCTCCAGCCTGCTGAGCCACTGAAAGGATCCTTCTTCAGAGAATTCTTCCATCCAGGCTTTCATGGGCAACTGCAGGCGGAGAAAAGAAGGCAAACGTGCCGATCTGAATTCAGGTCCTGCTTCCATTTAAGAGACTCGTGAAGGTCAACAGTGTTCAGAAAGCTCCGGATTAGCATGCAGCTCAAGCATGAAGCAGAGGTAAATTGTCTAGCTTGGTGGGCGATGCATTCACTTCATGCCTATTTGAGACCAATCCATATTATTATTTGGTTGAGTGAGTCACATTTTTATGTAGTATTGACTGTGATAGAGGTGAGAGAGGTGATTTGTGTAGACTGCGGTAAAGAAAGGGACGATAACAACCAGAATAGTAACGTCTGTGAACCTCCTGAAGGAACAAGAGTGGAGGCAAACATGAAAGAGTGGATCCCATTGAAAATAGAAAGGAAGGGTTAAAAAAGAGAATGCTTTTTACAGTCTGTTCACTTTCGTGTTAAAAAGACGCAATGCATTGTTTCGTTATATGCTAGAATCATTAAGTTACCTGAGGTGTAACACTTTATTTTCTGTTTTCTTATAACAAACATTGATGTTTTTAATCCTATCAAATGTATGTATTGGAACGGTTGGAGGGGAATTAATCACAATTATGTAAATCGTGTAGCAAATCCTAAAAAACTGAAAGGTGTAAGAAATGGTGTGTGTGTTTGTGGCAGACCATGAATATTGGGAATGAAGTCAGTGAATCAAACAATATTAAAAACGTGCTTATACGGTATAAATCATGTCGAAACTACCAACAAATGTTTTAAATTGGAAACATTTGGATTTTACTTTCAGGTGACACATGTGTAGACCCCACTGTAGGAAGTGGGGTCTGACTGACACTTTGTCAAATTGAAATTCAGGAGGTACAACAGGGCTAAGTGAAGTTAGCGGTCACGCCATTGATCCAGAGGTGCAATTTCCTGCAGCCTGTCTCAGCTGATGTGTTTCTACCTGAGAGTCTCGGGGGTGGAGGCAGGTCTGTTTGGATGTGGAGGAGAAGCTGCAGTAGGCCAGCAGAGCGTCCGCTGGGCTGCCCTGGTTCGGGTCAATGTAATACATTCCTGCAGAGAAAGGTTAGTGGAGCTCAATGAGATCTGCAGGGAGGAAACGGATGCTGACAGAAAGGCCTGAGCGCACTGGGAGCAGAATAACTCCAATGTCCTTATGTATAAAGAAATAGCATTTTCTATACAATTTTGTAAACTAAAAGAGAAACTTATATACAAAAATGTATTAAAAAAAGTCTGCATATTTAACAGGATTAGCACGGATAAGATATAAACAAAATGAAAAATAGGAATTTAAATAGTGATATTTACATGTGCAATAAGAGAAGCCAAGGCAGGGGTGTAATGGCTTTTTATTATTGCTATTGATTTGACTAGCAACTGCAGATTACACTAGAGATACATTAGATCCTTCACTTCTGATATGTATTGAACATCTGAAGAATAAGGTATGAATTATTCATAACATATGGATAGAAATACCATCCAAAATGTGTTGCATTAAAGCTTATATTCTTTAGTGTGTTTTGATGACACCAGTATTAACATGTACATTTAACCATTTTAAACAAAAATAAATGTAATTTTCCTGTACTCCCTTTGCTGTACTCCCATTTTTGTGTATATATTTCATTTTCTTTAAAACATTTTTTTAACATTTTTACAATAAATACATGTAATATTAATATTGTTGTGCCTGTTTTACAACCGTATTCTTCTTACTCACCATTTGTACACCAAAGCAAAATCCTTGTATGTGTAAACCTAATCTGCAATAAAACCTGATTCTGTGTCTGATTCTGTAATAACTGTTATCTCAGTGTTTGTGGGACTGACCGCTGCTGTAGTCGGGGTGACAAAGCCACAGCTCCAGGCAGGTGGAGGCTGGGTGCTCCTTGCTGCCGTCGGGGGGGTCCAGCAGCAGCCGGAGCTCCAGCTGCAGAGAGTCCAGCAGAGTCTGGAGCAGAGAGTAGTTGGGCTTATCGGACACGTACATCAGATCCTGGACATGGGAAGAGCACAGCAGAAACAAACGGTCAATTACACTGCAAACCGTTGCTGTCTTAAGATGCTCTCATGAGAATTATGTTTATATTGTAACCGTTAATACTAGAAAATGGACAATAGACATGAATCACTTGCCCTGAGTTGAGTCAGCGTCATGTTCAGTGACTGTCCGGGAGGTCCAGGGATCCCAGGTGGACCCTTTCACACAAAGGAAAGATGCACATATAAGTATACTACAAAAATAGTATAGAGAAAAGATTCATTAAATAGTGTTTTCTGATACAATATACACTGACATAGATCCATAGAGTAATGGTATCATGAGGTAAAAGCTGTTTGTTTTCTGAGCTGTTCTTTAAAATGTTTTGGAAATGTGGTGTTAAATTAGAAAGAACGTATGAAAAGCACAGGTTAAAATACTTTTGTTGGCAACAGAACTGCGTTAGCAACATTAGCTGACATGCTAAACTTATGTCTTGCTCTTGCTTAATGTTTGGCTGTGTTAGCAAAGTTGTAGACGGGTCATTTTTGACTGTGAGTAAGTAATAATATTTAAAAATGCATGTGTAACGTCATGGCTGATTATATCTATGACAGCGGTGTACAAGTTAATTTCACTCTGTACTGTAGTGCTGTAATAACGGACCATAAACGACTGCTTTATGCTTATGTTCGCTAAAATCAAGTTTAAACCAAGCAAACGGTGAGACGGCTAAGAACTATTTACACGACTCTAATCTCATATGTTATTGATCAGATGTATAGACATTGTATACATTTGAGATGTAAACTTACCGGGAGCCCCCTCCTGCCGGACAGACCGGGGAAACCTGGGTAGCCTTTCAAACCCTGCAGGGAGAAGAGCATGTCAAAACACAACCCTGCACTGTTCTACAGGGCAATACCACACCACTAACTATACAACACATTCAACTGGAAATACAGACTCCTGTAATGGTAAATGCCTTTATATGCTGACTATGACCGCAAAGTGTGACAGTTTTATGATTATATGTGCCATCAAAGTGAACCAGTATGACGTTAAATCCACCACGACTTTCAGCGCTTCAGATAAATGTGTATTAGAACTGATGTGAAATAGATCTGACATGAAGTGAGTGCTTGAGTTGATCATATCATACCTTCAATCCAAACATACCCTGCACCAGAGGAGAGAACAGCAGAATAAGAGTGCATTAGTATCATTTTTACACAGGGAAGTGCATTTATGGACAAATTGCTCTCCAGTGCTTTTATTTGCTGCATTATGAACCCATCAGCCACGGCTTCACAGATTTGATAATCTAACTCAATGGGTTTATTCCCCTCTATGACACATGGGGCTGAACACAATCACACTGTGCTGGGGAACTGAATGAATCCAAAGACTGGCAGCATGCTGAAGAAAAGAGTATTTGCCCCCAGTTCTTATAAAACAATTTCCATCACACGTTCCACTTTTGAGCCTACTCCATTTTCAGGCAATCTGGTAAAAGTGACAAAGTGACAGATGAACTGCTCGAATGTAAAGTAAGATATTTAGGGAGAAAATAGGTACAAAACACCTAGCCTGAATCAACTTTACGCGTCTTCAGTTATATCCAAAAGAAAAGGCAACAACATAAACTGAAAAAATAGTTATAAACATAATTGAAGAGGGATATAAAAACCAGAAACAAAAGGAAAGCAAAAAACATACAATTGGTTAAATATTAATTTAAAATGTGGGAACTGTATTCAAATATTTAAGATGTCACGCTAAATACTTATATATAACTTACAGGCAGTCCTGGCATCCCTGTCGTACCCCTCGGTCCTGGTGGGCCAATATTTCCCTGAAGGAGAGAGGGGGAGGAGCGCATTGTCAAAGTTGGACATCACAAAAATATATTCAAACAAGTGAAGCTTCAAAAGACAAGAGAAAACATAATGAGATAAGACACACATCTATGATCTTAATTTGTTATACCTGATCTCCCTTCACAGCAGGTGGACCAGGCACTCCGACAAAACCACGAATACCCTGAGAAAAAGAAAAGAAAGGATCATTGTAACGCAGTTGAAAAAATACTCAATACTTCTCCTGTACTGTTTTGTTTAACACACATTTTATGGCTATTGCGAGCTGCTTTGCCACCACAACTCCATACATGTACCGCCAGGCATTATAATATAGTTGTTTTGCAGACATGATGTTGGTATCTCCGTATGAACACATTAAACATCTTACCTTCATGCCATCAGCTCCAGGTGGTCCAGACAGTCCCATGTCTCCTTTCTCTCCCTGAGGACACAAACAACAAAGTCAAGCCTCTACAATTACTGCTGATCAGCAAATTAAAATCAAAGCACACTGTGCTAAAAGAAAACGGTTCTGACAGAGCCTGAACTGAGCCCAGGGGGCCAAACCATCTGATGAGTCTGAGTACAACAACAGCTCAGTATTAACCATATTTTCATTAATGCCATCCTTCCATTATAGACAGGGGTGCACATAAGGTAGGCATGCGCGGCAACAATCTGAAATGCGTACCGTCACTTGTGTCACAAAGCACATTTGCGTACCGACGTACTTGTGAACCCCCCCCCCGTTGACAATCGCGAAGCGCTGTACTCCACCCCCCCCATTGTCAATCGCGAAGCGCTTGACTCCACTAGCACCCCCCCCCCCCGTTGGTAGTCAATCGCGAAGCGCTGTACTCCACTAGCACCCCCCCCCCGTTGACAATCGCGAAGCGCTGTACTCCACTTCCACCCCCTCCCCCCCGTTGGCAATCGCCAGAAGTTGGAGTACCAAACACTGACTCCAGGTACCTCACTGAGAAAGTTGTGTGCACCCCTGATTATAGAGGAAACTGCACTTTGAATATTGCTATGATGAGCCAGATGTACAGTCCAGCTGTTGTTACCCTCTCCTGTGGGGGAAGTGAATGTATTTATTTATCACTGTATTTATTGGGCATGAAAGTGCCTTTTTTTCGAAGGTGATGGATTTTTCTATGTGGAGAGGAAACGATATGTCTTACATAGAATGTGTTCTTCTTTACGCATACATTTTTTTTTAACAGTATTTGTTTGTATCTATTTTCTCATAAGGCTTATCCTGAATTGAAATCACCCAGTGCTTATTGGACATTTACATAAAAACACAGATAGATGAATAATAAACATAGAAATGTTACTTCAAACAAAATGTAAAAAAACATGATAAAAAAGTGATTCTTTATTTTAAAATTGTATTTTTGAAAATGTATGTTTATAGTTGTAGCTAACGAGAAACCTTCAGAGGCAAATTATCGAACAAAATTATATGTTTTTACTTTAATCATTATAAAATACATAATCTTCTTAAAATATGCTAAATCAGATCAAATCCAGTTAAGCTTGCTCTTGAAAGTGAAGATTTACCTCTTTCCCCTTTTCACCTTGCTCTCCCAGATCTCCACGTAAACCCAGGATTCCCTTGTTGACAAAAATAAAAAAAACATATCAAGTTGGTATCAATCCACTGAATGATAGAGAGCTGTTTCATTTCAAAATCATTTATTTAAAAAACCCCTTTCTCTCCAAAGCAGGACAGATTGTTAAAAAGACAGTTTCAAAGCTAATTTGATAGATAGCCTTCTATGAAAGACAGATGATAAGTAAATAAATAAATGGACTTACGATGAGCCCCGGCCACCCAGAGAGGCCGAACAGCCCTGTGTCTCCCTTTTGGCCCTGAAAGACAAAAACATGGTTCATTCGTTGTAATTAAATCAGACGAGCACAAAGCCTGAGGCCTGGTTGTTTTTGTATCCCACCTTGTGTCCTCTCTCTCCTCTGGTCCCTCTGACTCCGGCCTTACCCCGTTTCCCCTGTGGACAAGATCCCAATGTTTTTAAATGAGGCAACAGAAAGCAAGAGCAGACACTCACGGAACAACCTCATGTTTTATGTATGAATCTGTTCATGCAGTATCGGTCAGACTGGCTGCTTCTGCCTATTTCCTTTTTCATCCCGTGCACACACACCACACTATCTGTATGAAAAAGTCCTGTTTACGACACTACAACAAGGTGTTTTATCACAAAGTAGGAGAAAGTATAAGGAAGTCCAGAATATATTGACCTTTTTGAATTCATGTGGATCAACTTAGCAACATGTTTAACATTGTTTAGAAAAGCATTTTTATCGCTAATTGTTTACAAGACTGGAACAAAGAGAGCTTACCCTCCTTCCAACATGACCCGTCCTCCCTGGCGATCCAGTCTTGCCATCGTTTCCCTGTAGTGGTCAAACACAAAATAAATGGTGAAAAAGCTAATCAGTAACTTTTTCACAATTTCAAACTGGACTTTTAGCACTTGTATTGTTATATTGCAAATTAAAAAAAGCTGATTTTATAATGTGAATAAAAGAGCATAAAGACAAGTGTTTTCTTCTATTCTTCTTCTTTGCTGTCATAAATGCCATTTTGGTTAAATGTGGGCTTCTTGTATAGAATGGAACTGCTGGCGAAAAACTATATCCCCCCAAAATAGTTCAAATGCATGTATCAGGAGGGGACAGGCTTTATAGAAAAAGCTTGACATTTTGAAACATGCTTATGTGCTTTCTTGCAGAGAGTCGGATGATTAGATGGATACCACTATGATAGGATAGATATGAAGGCAGGACACGTGGAAACTTCTGATCTTAGACAACACCAGGGTAGCCGTTTCCTCTCACGTTCCAGTCCTAATGCTAAGCTAATGTGAGCCTGTTGGCTGCTGGCTTTATATTCAACAGACAAACATGAGTGGTATGGATCATACAATGTAACCATCAGTAAGAAAGGAAATGAGTGTTATTCCCCAAAAAATTAAACTATTGTTTGGCTAAGTGGTCTAATGAAGCACAATAACATATTTTTACTATAATTCCAGCTAGATGTGTTGGAAACTAGACGGTATAAAACGTCAAATGACATATTAAAATGTATGAAAACTTTGTACAACAATATGAGGCTCTTACCTTCTCCCCTGCCATGCCGTGTTGGCCCTCGGCTCCTTGTCTTCCATTCACTCCCTGCAAAAGAGGAATATTTAGTTTGGTTCTCCATCAGACAGAAAGAACAAACACACACTTGTTTTGAATAATTTATAACGGCCAAACAAATGCCATAATTATAAACCAGCTGCTGAAGGCAGAGTATGATTTCATCATCTAAAGTGTGTCTGTGTTGCAGACATCCGCACACTTACAGGAGACCCTGTGGGACCCGGGGCACCGTGGGGTCCAATTTCTCCAGGAGGCCCCTGAAAGATGGTAGGAAGAGGAACAAATAGCATAAATAGAGTTTGTTAGGGGGGGGGGAAATGCAATCATCAGCAATGAAAGTTCACATGAGACAAAGTTTAGTTTTCACCTCTAATCCGGGCAGACCAGGAGGACCTTGGATTCCTGGCAGACCTTCCTCACCCTGCACAGGTAAACATTATTGAGCTTGTTTAATGGATGTTTACACATACTGAATATGTATGTTATTCATCAAAGTATTTGTTAATAAGATGTAGCAGCATGCAGACATGCATTCTGGCTTTATAAGTAGAGAGATAAAACATGAAAGCCTCACTAACCTGTTCCCCTTGTTGTCCTGGGGCTCCTGGCTCTCCCTTCAGTCCCTGTGGCCCCACTTCCCCTTTCGCCCCGAGGTCTCCGTGAGGGCCAACTTTTCCTACTGGACCCTGCCATGCAGACATTAAAGATCATTGTTAGAATTACTACATTTTGGCCATTTTGTACAATGTGCAAATGTTTACTTCATGGTTAGATGCTTAATGACTGGGCTTAACTAAGAAGTATTTCAGTTTGATGTAAAAGTATGCAGACATCAAATACTGCACCACTTCAAGCATCTGCCATCTATCCCAAAACAACAACAAGACAATATTTCTGGCTGCACCTAAGATGTGGACCAACTGACAGACCAAAATGTCCGTCCCTGGAGACATGCTGCATGACTATAGATGGACCACACACTATGATAGCCATTCAAACTTAAATTGCACTTTAATTTCTCTCTAAATCACTAAAGTTTGGTCCTCCCCTGACACTTAATTCCCCTAATTACTGATCTGTACTATAAAAGATCAAAGGATGTTTAAAAACTGTGGCCTCTATTAGCGGCTACGCTGTAACAGAGCTAGGGACAGTATTAAAGACAACCAATGCAGGGCAATCTGCACGACAAGAGAGCATAACATACAGAATGACATTTATTTTGTCATTTGGAAAACTTTAGAGGCAGATGGAATATTTTTGGTGCTACTCGAGGATACTCACAGGTGGTCCCTGCCCCCCTGCGTCTCCTCTGACACCACGAGCACCTCTCGGCCCCTGTGTGCGGACAGACAAACAGAGAGCAAATGGATGGCTTTCCTCTCACAGCTGCACTGTACATCATGTTGTGCAAAATCCTAAATGGTATCAGAGATTACCTGAGGCCCCCCTGACCCCGGAGGTCCTGTCATTCCCTCAGGCCCAGAATCCCCCTGGAGAGATGGGAGGAAATCTTTGAGCTCCATTGCTTTGACATTTACTCTGCATCAGGTGTGATAAAACGTTTCCCTTATAGAACCAGAACTGGCCAAAATGTTTACATTGTTTAGAAATGCAAATTGTGTGTGTGGGAGAGAAACTCCCTCTGGAGAGAACTTTGCGATTTTTGCCTTTGCAGATCATTAACATGCACACAAAACTATGTAAGAAAACTACTTTAAGATGCAAAATGGTACTAAAATCCAAAGATCCCTAATTGACTGGTCATGATTCAGTATTAAAGGGAAGTAACGAAATGAGAGCTAAGCGAACAGAGAGCTAGAGAGAGGATGTGCTCAGAGAAGAAAGATGTTGGCTCTTACCTTCTGGCCCTGAGGTCCATCTAGCCCCGGGGGTCCCTGAGAGCCTAGTATTCCCTAAAATGAGCACAGACACACCACCACATGAATGTAAGTGTGTGCAGAGCAGGTGAAAACCAAACTAATCTGTCAGGAGGATCAATAAATGTCAATCATAGCTGTGGCAGTTCAATAAAGGTTAACTTAAAGGCCACCCTGAGCGGCATCTCATCAACAGAGTCAATACTTCCTGGAAACAAGCTCACCTGTAACCCCGGCAGACCTGCAGGCCCCACTTCTCCCATCAGCCCCGGCTCGCCCTGTCAGGAGGACCACATCAGGGATAACCATTAATCTGATATGTTTTGAGTTATGTCCTAAACCAAGCTATTGATTATTGGTGAAAGACCTAACAGAGACAAAGCCAAAGAGTGATACAGAATAAAAGTGTGGAAATTCATCTTAGTAATATTCAGTTACTATTTTTTAAGACTATCTAGAACCATCTGAGTGAAACAAAGAGTCCTGAATTATTTCAGCAACCATCAAATCCACTCTAAAGCGCTGTTAGTTGTTATTATGTTTTACCTGCTTGTAAAAAGAATCGCCATTCAAAACCAATAATCCCCTTTTGGAAGCGACTTTAAAATGCTCCATATATCCTTTTTTGGTCCATTTGTTAGTCTGTATGCTGGTACACTGTTTTTTGTGTGTACAAGCTGACCCTTTGGGGATTAATAAAGTAGTTTTGAATGGCCATTTGGATTTTGGATATCAAATAATTGTGAGTGGAGCTGATCATATGTTTTACCTATTGCCATAAATACAGAAAATAACTGGACTGAATGATTATCCTTAAATAAATACAACCATGAGTTCTTAAAGGAACACTGCTTAATATAAGTCCATCCCAATACCACTAATACAAACATTTGGGATGTAAGGATTATGTAGTGTTATTACAATATTAAAAACAAATTAAGCATTGTCCCAATATTGTGCTCACCATGAGTCCAATGTGGCCCTTCTCCCCCTTTGGCCCCCTTTGGCCATTTTCACCGAGGTCTCCCCAGGGGCCTTCTCGACCCGACAGTCCTATAGGACCCACTCCACCCTGCCGACAATAACAGTCTGATCAGAAACGGCATACATCATTCTCAGTCAAACCAACACAACCCTCTTCCTTCTTAGAGACGTGCACAATAGAAAACAATGTTCACCAGTTTGAACAAACCAAAGTGAAGTGAATGTACCTTCTCCCCTTTTGGTCCAGGATCTCCAGGTTCCCCAGGATGCCCGATATCACCCTGAGGAGGAGGATAAAACATGGGTCTGGAGTTCAGTAACTTTCACTTTTCACTTAAATTAAGGCAAGGAGATTGATACCAAAGGATTCTTTTTGTTTTTGCTGATTATAGTTTTTGAAAAGGTTCTGACTTGATCTGACAATTAAGCGTTATTGTCGTCACTACTTTCACAGCCTCAAAGTAAAAGACAGAAATAGCCCGTAGCATTGTTAAAATGTGTAAAACCATCCGAGTTAAACAACGAGCCCTGAATTATTTCTGCAACCATCAAATCCACTCAAAAGCGCCAACCATCAGAGTGTTGTTATGTTTTACCTGCCTGTAAAACAAATCGCCATTCATAATCTTTTTTTTTCTTTTTGTCAGCAGTAATACTACTACCATGATTACCGAGCATTAAAATAAATACCTTTTCTTTGCAGCATCCATTTAAGTTCATGAACAAAGGCAAGTGAGAAAAATGACTTCCCAACTTGGCAAATAGGACCTTCCAAGGAGCACTTGATCAAGCATTACCCTGTTGGTTTTTTCTTTTACAACATTTTACATTGAGTGAGGACTCTCTAAAAATACCTTACTACTTCAAAAAACAATTACTAGTAGGACGGTTCTGGACTACACACAGTAAATGTTTCAAAAAGCCCATCTTAGTGTTGTGTAATCAACATTTGAATTCTCTCATAGGAATCTGAGTTAAGCACTGCCAGCATCACATTATCAGCAAAATCTAATTTCACGGTTTATGCAACAGAGATGCTGAACTTTTATTTCTATAAGTGTTTCACGAGACAACTTAAATAGAAATCCTGTCTGACGTTAATCATTAATGCTAACGAGGAAATAAAAAACAACAAACACATCTGTTCACCATAACATAGTTTGGACTGTGAGGCTGTAAAGTTAACAGCGTGATGTTATGAGCTCATCATTTACAGTATGAGACAGCAGTTGAACATGTGTGTGTGTAAAAAGCAGATACATGCACCTACCTCTTTACCCTCAGGTCCAGACGGGCCCTGTAAGCCTTTTAGGCCCTCAAGTCCTGTCTCTCCTGGAGGGCCCGGAGGACCAAGATTCCCACAAGAGCCATGATCCCCCTGTCAAACATGGCAACATAAGTAGACTGGAAACAGATGAAGTGTCTGACTGCAGGCTTTAAAATGCTAGCTGGACGTCAGGGAGTTGAATTCCCTCAAACCCAAAGCGGCAGACTGTTCAACATTAAACAAAGTCAACTCTTTCATTCTTGGTGTTTGAGGTATGAGCAATCAATGATGAAAAGACTCAGAAAGGATGCTGCAGTGATCACTGACCTGGTCTCCTTTCCGTCCAGTTGGGCCTTCATTTCCTGTTTGGCCAGGGAGACCCTGATGAATCAGAAGTTAAAACATTCATCAACCAACAATTCAAATGTGCTCTGGTGTCCTTGAATAATGGAGATGTAACGGCTGGTGGTGTTTGAACCAAGAGCAATGTGTTAAATACAGTTGTGGATTCTTTTTGTAAACATTTCATTAATAATGAATGTTCTCAGTTTTAGTCTATTACAATACAATTATTTTATTCTCTGCTAAACATTAAAAGCCATTTCTAAAAGCTCTAAGGACACAGCATTCACTTGTAAGAGTAAGGCTGGATGCCATCAGTACATCTACAATCTTATTTATGCAGAATGTAAAGTGTTTTATACGCTGTGGTCTTTGTACCTTCTATCTTTGCCGTCCGAGTCAGCAGCAGATCATTAGATTTAACTTTAACCAAAAACATATGCAAACTAAATCAGCTTATTGTTTGTTCTAAACATTAAAACGTGTGCACTTACAGCACATGGCATACTCTTCAATGTGTTTCCATTTTAGAAACAGTTGGAAGTGCAAGAAAAAGTAAGGCATGAGAAGAAATCAATTACTTTGAAATTGAATGCACGAACACATCTCTACTTCACCATTGAACTAAACAAACCTGCAGTCCATCCTGTCCGGGGGGGCCAGCATCACCGAGCAAGCCAGGTAGACCCTGCAGGTATCAGCATCAGTATTAGTAACTGAATACAAAACATTCATTAAAGACTCATAACTCATGATTCTTATGAACTGTAGTTTACCGTATTTCCTATTTCCCCTGCTGCTCCTAATAAGCCATCAGCACCCTGTGGCCCCTGAGGAAATTAAACACACAAGGGGGTTAAAAACCTTTTGATGTTGAGACTCATCAACCAGGTAGTCAGACATTTTAATGAACATATTAGTGGACTCTCATATTTCCAGACTTTAAAAAAAATCTGTACTGTTTAAATAAAAGCAGTATGATGCTAGGTACCCACTCACTGGGATTCCTGCTGGCCCCTGTGGCCCCAGAGGTCCTAGAGGCCCTTGGCTTCCTCTAGGTCCAGGTTTTCCAGCTGCCCCATCAACACCTTGGATACCTGGAGGGCCCTAGAATATAGATTTTATATCACTTACTGTAGGTCAAAATCATGTAATGCAAGCTTAGGTTTCTCAGTGTGTCATTGCTATGTGCGATTTATCAATAACATTATGTCAAATGTGACTCAATTCAATCAATAGAGCATTTCAAAAGGGCAATTGGCAGATGTTTTATGAGACGCATGTCAGCACACATGTGAACAAATAGACACAAACACAGCCAGGCTTACAAAATGGTAAATTAGTTTTCTAACAATCAGAATAACAGCTAGATATGTGAAGTTTAAATCATTAAATGTGAGCGATGCTGTACATTATCTGCATCACTGACTACGTTACGTTCACAAAATGTATTCAGTTATATTTATTCAATATTCATACCAACCGCCTTCTCTGCACTTCAAGTTAGTAATTACCAGATCAGAAAAGACAAGAAAAGATGGTGTCCTGTGTACTGTTTAACTTACAGGTGGGCCCGGTATCCCTTTGGATCCTTCATCTCCAGGCCGACCCTGTGAGAAACAACAACAACGTGCTCAAGTCACTGGATGATAAGAAAACAGAAATGGAAAATCCACAGTCTGATGGTTATGAGAGTTTCCCAGTGGATTCATTCGTTCTGTTAGACTGGATCTCAGCAGTGAATATACACTATTCTAATGGATGAATCTAATCTAGAGCTTTAAACTCTGTCTGTTTGGTTCTTATTCCCAATGGACTGGAGCTAAACATTCCCCAAAACCAGCAATAAGTAAACTCCTATCATGTTGTTTGAGAAGCGTCCACTGCTCCAAACTTTTTTCCGTTTTTCCACAATTAATAGCTCTTATCTATAAACCTATATGGCATGAGATTGGTCACTTAGCTTTTTTTGAGCATTAGAGGAGATACTTTGTCATAATGTTTTCTGTGGTGCTTTGAAAATAGAATTGTATTATTAATAAGGGATACTGAGTTATATCGAACAAAGTTAAATAAATACAAAATTAAAAGCCACAGGCATTGCAACAACATGTAAGAAAAACATAATATGTAGTTCTCTCTTACTTAATGCACACACTTTTCCATTAAAGGTCTCTCTCACCTGAGGTCCCCGGGGCCCCTTTTCTCCAGAAGGACCTGGCAATCCCTGATGAAGAAAAACAGATGCAGCAAGTCAGAACATGCTTATTGTTAACACCTCTGTGTGAGCACAAAATACCATTTGTATAAGCTAAATAAAGGTATATCATTTGTACCCACCCACCTGTTAAACTTTTCAAAACTGCACAGAAGAAAATATCTTTGTTGGTCTAACAAAACTATTCTAAATATACAGCGAAATACAAATGTCAAGCGCAAGTGCTTCTTTTTCACTATACAAGATTGTTTACTTCTTGTGTAATACAAATATACCTAAAGATTGTCGTGTTTGATGCCGTTTAAACACATTTTCGAGGTTACTTAAACAGACATGGTCATGCCCACTTTCTGAAGTTTTAAAACATAACGCAAGAATGGAGGGCAAGGCAAGGCAAGTTTATTTATATAGCACTTTTCTGTACGCGACAATTCAAAGTGCTTTACAAAACAAATTAAAAGACTTTTTATGAATACATACAGTAAAAACACATTATATAATGGCATTTTACAACAGGCATTACAAAGCAAAGACAATAAAATAATAAAAAATAAACACCACAGTTATACAATACATGTTTAAAAGGCATACTGTAGTTCGAATATGAGCAGCTCAATTAAAAACAGCGGCAAAGAGATATGTTTTTAGTCTCGATTTAAAAATGGTAAGCGTTTCTGCGGACGTGCATGATTTGGGTAGTTTGTTCCAGAGTGTCGGGGCATAATAGCTAAATGCTGCCTCTCCATGTTTTGTTGTTACTCTCGGAACTGATAGCAGACCCGTCCCAGAAGACCTGAGGCACCTTGATGGCTCGTAAGGCACCTTGATGGCTCGAGGGAGCGGGCATCTTTGTCTGTACTTATGTGTAATGTGAAACTTTATGTACAGTAGGTGTGCATTAAGTGCCCTCATGCATTAGTTATTTCTATATTATTATTAGTGCTGAATATAAACATCCAACTAACTATGACAAATATCCTTTCTGTATTTAAGTATTATTGTTGGTTGGTGATTGCTGAATATCTTAGAATTGGATCACAAAACTAACTTTAAAAGAAAAACAGGTTTTCGTCCCTTTTGTTGACAGGACTATGTCCACCATGATATGTGTTGCTCTCAGTGCATTCAGGGATGTGAGCACAAAAGCATTCAGTTTGATACAGTGTGAGGAATTGAAGCCGGTCACAGATCAATCATCCCTCTCAGCAGTGTATAACTTTGCTCCATGACAGATTGATGGATTTCCCCCCAACACAAGTATAAGCACAAATAGAGGGAGGACTGTGGACAGGAAGTGAACTTCCATTAGTGAAAGTGACTTCATCCATGCAAGCAGATTTTCTTATTTTCAAATCTAACCAACCAAAAAAGAAGAAGATGGATGCGTCGGGTACAGAAACTTTTAAAAAACTAAAGTTTGACCTTTCAGCTTCATATGCAACTTCACCAAAGGAGAGGGAAATCCATCAGTATAGGCAAGGGAAATAAATAGTCTTATCACAATAACAACAAAAGAAAGGTTATCATTGCATACAGGTCTGTTTGGGGACAGGCAGCAAAACAACTCTGCTGGAGTTTAATTATTCATGTGTCCTGTGTCGGAGACCTGCTGTTTTTACTTCAATTAAAGGTCTAGCTTCACAGATTTCTTAATTCACACCCTAGAAAACCTAAATCTGAAGCCAAGTCATCGAGAAAGCTAGGGATCATATGCAACAACCGGTCAATATAGGTCCATTTGTTCTACTCCCTTTCGGTCTTATGTTGATTTCTCTGTTGTCCAACTTTTTCTTTTCTTTACTTGGACAGTTTCGATACCACGCATCCAAAGTTGTGTTTTGTTCACAAATACAAAAATGTATATTCAAAATGCATTCAATGGAGTTTTCTGATAGTCAAATGTGCCGTTTTTGGAAGGAAGTGACCCGACAGTGAGACGGTAAGCCAGAGATTCCTGTTCCTCATGTGAATTTGGTAAGTCAAACACAAGTTTTGTTGAGAAGCTTTGGGGATATCAAGGTTACTTCTTATTGTATAATTTCCATATGTCTTTCTATTTCATAGCAAACATTCTACACATTGGAACAAAGTTGTAACGTGTAGAACCGTTTTTGAGGATTGAGGATGTCACCTGGCACTGATGACAGCAGGGGACAAGCTGAAGGACATTTTACTTTAATCTGCCACCAGTGACCAACAAAATCAATCGCTGTGACCTGTTCGCCTTCATCAGAAGTCAGTCCCTGCACACCAGCTGCACACCTCACTGGTTTACTTTCATTCACCAAACTCTCCTTGGTGTGACCCCATCACAGCGGCTGTCTCTATGAAATCCCCTGAACAATATTCAGAAGTCGAATCTAAAATGAACTTCAGACACTTACTGTAGGACCTTGCTTCCCCGCCGGCCCGGGTAAACCTCGTAAACCTTGCTCGCCCTGGTGCAGAGAAGAAGAAAAAAACGTGTTGTTTCTCATTATTGATGGTGTTTTTGCTAAGACAGAAAGCACATCTAAAAATAATAATCTGCATTTTCAAAAATATAATAATAATAGTAATAATATCTGAATATAATGTTCCTATGTCACGTAAAACAACAAGTTTGATACTGTAGGTACCTTCCTGTTCCTTTTTCAATCGACAAAGCTAACTTTTACAAGTCTTATTTTTCGAGATAGGTGAGAGTAGGATGACCTTACCCTTTCTCCCATGAACCCTGGATTCCCTCGCATGCCCACGTTTCCCTGGATACCCTGATGGGTGAAGAACAAATATAAAATACATTTGTTTATCATCAGTTAATGTTTCACTGGCTCATCCAGCACTTACTAAAAGTTTAATAAACAATGTCCTTTACAGGAGAAAGAGGTACGAAACTCATTCAGATAAATCAATTAAAAACCACTCCAATTAACCCTATAATGAGCTTAAACCCACTTTACCCTCATAACATGTTATTGCTTTGTTGAATGCCCAATTTTGTACAATAGCCTTAATTGAAATATGTAAAACAAACCTCTTTAATAATAATATATAAACACAGCAATTTGTCAATTTCTTACTACAACTCAAAAGTGAATTATCAACTTGCAATTCTGTTACCGTAGCAAGTCCTTATGCAGTAGTTATTTGGTAGAAAGCTTTTGAATTACTTACATGACCATCAAAATGTTGTTTAAACGGTCTAACATGAACAGGTCTTAATGTGCGATACAAGTATACACTTGATGTACTGATATGTTGTGGAAAGGTACAGGTGCAGTCCCTGTATGTGCCCTGCTGAAGAATCACTTACATACATGCCTACTGGGCCCTGAGGTCCCTCCATGCCTGTCTTCCCTGTGAAACCCTGAGAAAAAAACACATATCTATATAACACAACATACACACGTACAGTACATCATATGTCTGTGTGTGTTGGTGTAATGGAGGTCATGACCGATCGGCCTGTGTACTCACCTTTTCTCCTGGAGCTCCTGGGGATCCTGGAGGTCCTGGTTTCCCTGGTGGCCCCTGACAGATAAAAGATGTCTCATTAAAGGTTCAAAGAAGCAGTCAATAACATCTGTTATCTGTTCAGCCAATCAGATTACAGGACTGCAGAGATCAAGCGTATATTTCCTGGGGTTTCAAATGCTTGTTTGCCATCTGATTGGAAGTTAGATTAGAAGATTGAGAAGACCACGATGTTTAAGCTCAGCTGAGTTTCTCAGATGTTTTTAGTTGCTAAAGCTCAACCTTGAGAAACTAAGAACATCTAAGTGTTTCTAAGACACAGTTTTGTGTCAGCTGAGACTTAACCCTCTGTATCCCTAAACAAACCAACATTTGCATCATTTGTTATAGATACAAAATATGGGAGCTGAAAATGTTGTTTAATTTCTAATATCCAACAGTCATTTAACAAATCACTTGTGATGATTGATTTAGTCTGTGATACAAATAAAGACTTGAATGTGAACAAAATTGTTTAATTCTACATGTTTATTTAAACATGTAGACACGTGTCATTTTAAATAAACCATTTGCACAAACCAGATCATGCGACAAACATAAAATGCAATGTTTCCCCCTATATTGATAACACTTAACACACTTACATTTAAATGTTGTATATACTGTAAATAGATTCCTTTTTTCTCCAATTAAACTAAAACAAATTATTTATTTGTCCTATTCTTTAAGCGTGAACAGTGCATGAAGAACATATCGAAGTAAAAAACCATGCCAGAGACAGCAAAATGTGTCAGGAGCAACAAAAACAATAAAACGGCCATAAAACTGCTTGGCTGTTCAGAGAGTTAAACATTTATTTCACAATCAATCCATCCTCTCCTTCTCGAGCTATATGCTTCAGAGGATCTGCTCATCTACAGACTTCCTGCCTGGCTGCTTCCTCTCCAAAAACCTCAGTTTCACACAGTAGCTTCTGTCATCCTCTACTCTGTCTTCCAAATGACAACTAGAGAATAAAAACAAGCTTACCAGAGAACCTAGGGGGCCATCTGCTCCTCTGTCTCCAGCAAGTCCTTGAGAACCCTAGAAAAGTAAGAGAAGTAATACAAAAGTTGCTAAGAAGTGGGAAGAGGCTTAAAGAAGTGAAAGAGATGAGACCAAACATCTAAAAGTGCAAATGTGGAACAAACTGTCATTTTAGAAGTTAATAAACGTGCACTGAACTGTTGCGGTATTGGTTTATATGAGTTGATTCAGTGTATTATCTTATGGCTTGTGCTTTATCAGCCATTTCATCGTTTATCTGCCATTACGTTTGATGGGAGTCATGAGGCTACTCCCTAAATGTCATTATGGATAATAGTATTGGTGATTAAGAGTTTAATTTAAGACTTTTACATTTAAAATGCTACATTTGTCTTTGTTAACTTAAGCAGTCAATGGAGAAATTGTCGTAACTGTTCATTTGGCAAATATGAATAATGATAATTCAGCAGTTGTACATCTGCAGTTCTTAAACAGTAAATCTCATAAACAGTAAAAAGCTGGACGAGTGCAAAAATCTGGATACTTTAAAAACTGTCGCTATCTTGGCGACGTAGCATAACTTGTCAAAAAAAATACATAGGGTACTAACTGAAGTATCTTAATTGGGACACATCATTTGTTTGGGCCGTTTTGTTTGGTTACAAAGCAAAAATAATGATGATTTAAGAATAATGATTTTTAAGACAAATGTGTCTTTCCATCATTGGAACAGTGGTGTGTGGCGCAGTGGGTTGTGCGTTGGTGTTCGAATCAGGGGGTCACAGGTTCAAACCCCACTGCAGTCAGCATGTCGTTGTGTCCCTGGGCAAGACACTTCACCCCAAATTGCTCCTGTGGGGATTGTCCACAGTATTGAATGTATGTAAGTCGCTTTGGATAAAAGCGTCTAACAAGTGGCATGTAATGTAATAATGTAATACTTGGTATGTTCAACAATCCAATTTAGGTGCAATGTTAGGATGTATATCATGTATATATGGTCATGTGAATCCATGTGTTTGCATCACACACATGGATTTACATGAACCCTGATCAGCCCTTGCCACTGTCAGTGAACACACCTGATACCATTATCTGCTGGTAGCCGGTTCAGCCCTCTCCTGTTCATGTTTGTTGTGTTTTGCCTGCTCATTAATCCATAAAACCTTCTGTATTTAATCATGGGTTGTCTTGTAAAACTGTAAGAAGGGCTTTTATTCGGCTGAACCCTGCAGCGCTTGGCAAAAAGTCAAAAAAGCCGAGCGAGAGGGATGATGTAATGAACGCTGAGGTCATTGTGAGGGTAACGTTCTTACCGCTGCTCCTTTACTGCCAGGACTGCCAGCTGCACCTGAGGGACCCTGAAACAGAAAGACAAGGAGAAAATACCAACAATGCAATTTCTACCAACTGCAAAAGGTCATTTCGGGAGCAAATAGTAAGTATCATCAAATAATAAACTTTCTTATAGACTTAGAAAAATGTATCTCTATCTAATCAAGCCATTTCATCAGAATTAACTGAGAAGATGCCACTCTTTATCTGCACATGAATATAAAGCTACAGCCACAACATTGGAATATACTCTCTCGCTCTTGTCAACAGCAGAAAAACCACATACAGTATGTTTAAAGGGCCTATAGTGATGTCACTATGTCGTGACAATTAAAGTGGACCTATCATGCTATATTTGAATAATATAGTGTAGGACCATACCTATATAAGGCATATTTATACTTTTTTCTTTTCAAAATACCAAACAGATCATGCATTTTAGCCATGCCTCATTTCGCTCAATTTGACAATTTATAGCTCTGTTTTTGCAAGGGTTTATTCTGTGATCAACAGCACCATCTAGAGGCCTGGCATATGTACTACAGCGTCTCCAGCGCTTTCGAACGGCAATGGCCGTGGCTGTCTCCTCCTGATTGGTGGAGTTGGCCCAATAGCCGTAGCGCCACCGTCCTGACGTCAGGACAGTGTTCAAATCTGGATCAGTTTTTATCAGATCCGTTGCAGCCCCTTTTTTAGAGATTTGGGTATGGAGGAAAATAGAGAGGGTTGTGTTTTTCTGACACTTGGTGAGTTCCCTGGAACACCGGGGACACATATTCATGTATAAAAGACGTACAAAAGTGCATTTTGCATGATAGGTCCCCTTTAAAATAAAGGAGTCCAATGGAGGTGTTTCGGGGGCGGGAGAGAAACTGCCTCTGGAGGGAACCTTGGGATTTTAGCCTTTCCAGACCATTTACATGCACAACAACCGATATAACACACTAAAGAAAAGGGAAAATCCCCCAAAGGGCCTCTTTAACCCTCCTGTTGTCTTCGGGTCAAATCTGACTGATTTACTACTTTCATCAATCATAACTTTTTTGTTTTACATTTGATTGCATTAAGGCTTTATGATATCCTTCACAGTAGACATTTCAACATATACAATTGCTGATCACCACTGTCATTGCATTTTGGATGATTTAGTCAACTTTGTAACACCCATGGTGTTCCCGGTCAAAAATGACCGCCATAAAGAAAAGGAATTAGTAACCATCCGGATCAGATAAAACACACACACCACAACACACACACACTAAATGTGTTCCCCCCCTTATGAGCCCATCCCCCCATGTGAATCACACCTGGCACACACACACACAAACACACACACACACACACACAGAACAATTTGACACATTTGCCGCTCTTATGTGCCCATCCCCCCACATGGATCACACCTGGCACACGCAATACATGTTCAGTGTCTATTCTTTGTATATTTACTGCAGTTTTTCATGTATACCAGTAGTCTGATACAATATGTACAGTTTGAAAGGGTGTTAAATGAAATTTGGTGATGATTAATGGTTTTTGTGTTAATGTAATAGCAGCTAAAACAGGACCGGTCAAATTTGCTGCAGAGGTGTGATGTAGGTGCTTTGCTGCCCTCTTCTCACAGACACTTTGTAGCATTCATGCCGTGAGGTACAAAAGCTTGTGACATCAAGGTGTCAGGATGTGATAAGTCACCACTAAGGCATAAACACTGGCAGCAGGGGGGAGACAGGCTCTGTCTAAAAGGTTCAAAAGACCTGTAGGGTATTTATGTGATGGACTGTTTCTCGGATGTGGTAACCTTAGGGTGAAGATAACACTAAGACATGCAAAGTCACCGGGCAACTCCCACACCTACAATCCCATCTTCATACACTTTGTGTTTTGAACAGATTTACCAGACAAGTTAGTGAGCTTTTGTGGTGCTGATTCCTGGATTCTGTCGCCTTTGGAAAGAGCTAAGCCAGCTGTTTTCTGTGTTTATGCTAAGCTAAGCTAACTCTCCAATGGCTGTAGCTTTATATACGTACACTAGTCAGAAAAGGTGGTGGTGAGGATCTTCTTAGCCAAGTCTATGGCAAGAAGGAAAATCAATTTTTAAATATATTCTTTCAATTTGTTGCAACACAAAGTCTTGATACAAGTGAACTTGCAGTAGACACTTTGTATAACTCAGTAACCCCAATTTACCATTTCAAATAACAATTTTCATGCCACATTAATCTGTTGATTATTTGTTATGATTAAATGATGTATCATTTATGGCACATGTTAATTTCGCATCACAAGTTCACAGAGGGTGACGTCTTCAAAGTCTGACTTACAGCAAAACATTATATAAAACAAAGAAAGCAGAAATGTCATTTTCAATTCTACACTTCATTTTTTGTGTTAATTAATAAGATGAACACTTTGCAATGTTTCCCTCCATTGGAATAAGGCAATTCTCACAGTAATGTGCTCTCTCAATCATGGATATAACACACTAATGAAGAAATGAGAAATTAACTGTTAAACTGCACAACTTGAACATCAGCATACAACATCTCACACAATACTGCTGTCCTGTACTGATACTGCCCCCTGCTGGCTAAAGCTACAATTAACTAATCAGAGTAACCTGGACTCAACTCGACAGTGGGTTTGACAGTTTGAGGGCATTTCTGTCTCAGCAGTCTTTCAGTGTGTCACTTCTTTAAATGTCACCCAACAGCCAGGAAATCTTGTATTCAGAGAAGCCTTTTTCTTTGAAAGAAGTGAAGTGTGTGATGATGTGAAGTGAGGTGTCTCTTCTTTCTATACCTATCACCAGTTTGTGCCTCTAACTTCGGACTTAAACTGAGACAGTTAATGTGAGTAAGTTAAATAAGTCGTGGTTTTAATAATAAACTACAATATACAATGCTTGTATAGTATGTGATAGGAGTAAGTGGATACAGACAACATTTACAGGTGATGGAATTGAAATATGATAGAGAATGGGAACCTGTGTACCAGGCTTTCCTTCAGCTCCCTCTGGTCCATGTGGCCCTGGCAAACCCTGTCAGATACACACACACAACAATTATATATAAACAAATCCAGAATTTCAGGGTAACCTTAAGAGGCATCTGATTAACAGCTTAAACCATATAAATAAAGGACTTAGAAAGGAGGAGAAAAGCCATTTAAATCAGACAAAGGATTATTACTTTTTACATGAGAGATGGACACATGAAAAATATTGAATTCCTCACTACTCTTAAGGTCTTAAGAGTCAGAAATAAACATTTAATCCAAAATGTGACAATTAACAAACGTTTACGACTTGCATTTTGTGGCCAGATTTATATAGGATTCAGGAGCTAATACATATCAAATAATTAGCGACAGGCTTTCAGTTTACCGATGGACCCGGTTGGCCGACGTGGCCCCTCTGTCCAGGTCGGCCCTGGAGACAAAGCATTGAGAAAGGGCAACGTCAATACCTAATAACTGTGGTTGAATACACAGAAACTTGCACAGGTATCTCAAAGTCCAGATATTTGTCAGGAAAAAGGAAATGGAAAGAATAATGCTTATTCTAATTCTAATCAGGCAATATCGTTAAGTCTTTATTGTGCTAATTAAATGTATTTTATTACCTTGCTTCCTCTGGGTCCTGGTTTGCCGTTGCGTCCATCCGGCCCCCTGTTTCCCTTCAAGGAGGTTCAGATATTAGTGATGGTTGCAGACAATCAATATCTATTATAAAACTGTCTTTGTGCTACCTTGTATGTTTTACTGATTTCTATTTCTAGCCCGGGAGAAATTATGTTGAATTTTATAAGCAGAAATGATACGTAATGCTTCATATATCTCAGTGTTGCTTAATTTCACATCATTGGCTTTTATTTAGAGTTATTCTTGTGTCTAAGATTGACCAAATTCATATAATCTAAATGTACTTATTTCTAGACATTTGTTAACATAATCATTTAATTCACATTTGTTTTGTGTAATACACGTAATGCACTTGTTATGGCATGTTAGTAGGTGTCACTTGGACACACATGCAGAGCACACAGCACACACAGTGAAATTTGGCCTCTGCTTTTAACCCATCCTAGTACCAGGAGTCTAGTACTAGGAGCAGTGGGCAGCTATTGTACAGCGGCGGGGGAGCAATGGGAGTGAGATGGGAATGAGGGGGGAAGGGGGGTGTCCAGTGCCTTGCTCAAGGGCACCACAGCAGGGCAGGAGGTGAACTGGGACCTCTCCAAGTAGCAGTCCACACTCCATATTTTAGGTCTGGTCGGGGACTTGAACCAGCGACCCTACAGCTCCCAGTCCAAGCCCCTACTGACTGAGCCACTGCCGGACACACTTTAGTACAGTACAAGGATAATGATGTTAGTAAAGTAGATGACAAAAGCCTGAATAATCACACTAGATGTTTTAAGATAATATTTTCACTATTCACTTTATTTTAAACTCAAATATGGCAGAGAGCTGTAATCCCTAAACACTAATGACAAATCAGTTAATATGCCTGACCGAGTCAAAAACCAGGAATTTTTTTAATTGATATTATTGCAGTCAAATGTTGTTAATTCACTCACATTTGGATTGGGAAATGAACATGCAGGAGGCCGCTGGAGGCTCTAAAGTTTCAGTTAGATGTGAAGTTTGGAACAACACATGAACTCATCTGACATTTCTTGGTGTTCAGACCCACAAATCATCATCACTGACCTTTAACCCACGGCCGCCCTGTTTTCCCTGAAGACCAGTTTCTCCATTTTCACCCTGGATGAAGAAATATAAAAATCAGTGAAGCTTATCTCCTCTTTCACCTTCACCAGGCTGCTTCTCTCGCTTGGCTTAAAGCGCATGTAATACAATATTATGCTGAAAATAGTGTGCTGCAATGTGGGTTAATAATCTGGCTATCATGTTTATTTTGCAAGTTGCCAGTGTTAATCAACTCTAACAAGTGGCATGTTATGTGAAAAGTTGAGCTACATCAACATATATTAGCTTTTATACATACACTTGAAAACATTGAGTCACTTGTTTAAGGACAAATCTTATGTTCATTAAAATGTTACCTTTTTTTTGCAAATTCAACTTTTTCTCAAATAACATTCTTGCAGTTCACTTTAAAAAAAAATACCCACTATGCATTAAAGTTCATTCTCAAGCTTAGACTTTTTTTTCTCTTTGTTGGAAAACATCCAGCTCCTAATTGACATCACTGTTATTAAAAAGTATTTTAACCGTGCTCTTTACTGTACCTCAGTGCCACTGGGGCCAGGCTGGCCCTTGGTGCCCTCGAAACCTTGGAAGCCGAGGGAGCCCCTCTCTCCCTGAGGACCCCTAATACCTGCTGCCCCCTGAATACCCTGAGACGAAAACAAAAAGGATTTTTTTCTCATGAGAAGGCATAGAGACATTGTACAGAAGAATATAAATGAACAGGTTAGCTTTTTGGGAAATATGTTGACTTGCTTTCTGTGAGTCTTATTGCCAACTTTGTGAATTTGATTGATTAACATAGACTTGCATACACAATCAATGTTCTGTTCACCAGTTCATTATCATGATGGCTTTCCAAAGTGTTGAGAAGTTTGTTTAGATTTGATGTACAGTAACTTTTACTTTGTGTTGAACAGAAAATGTATAAGCATATTTGTGACATGCTCTATCGAAATCAGTCGCATTGACCCGAAGACACATTTTGAGTTGGATACACTGCTGGAAAGAGGAGATTCCTAGCTTTCTAATGATATCAAGATTGTTTTTGTACTCCAAATATTAAGCAAAATATGTCACATTATATAATGACTGTCACCGAGTCATCATTTTGAGAAAAATGCCTTCAAAGTTTCCTCTTCTCTGGAATCCATCGATTTGATTGATTATTAGCGGAGCAAATGATCAAAATAGTCCGGAGGGAAAATATTTCCGTTTGGATTACTGGTCTGGGGGAAGCTCGCGCGTGTGTGTGTGTATGTGTGTGTGTGTGTTTGTGTATTTTTGCGTTTGTGTGTATTGTGTTTGTTTCCCGGGGAAAACACTCACGAGAAACACCGGCTGTTGTTATGCTTGCTGTGACGTTAAATGACTCCGTTCTCCGCTTGTAAATATGCCGTTACAAGCTTCATAGTTGTATTTATCATCTAAATTTGCCGAAACAAGTTTAATATTCTGAAAGCCAAGACTTTGTTTAATTGAAATCAGATGAAAACAAACTGTAACGGACCCTGCCGTGTTATCTATGATTACTATATGCCTTACATTCATAATTTCAGCCGGAGGGAGGGGGGGCGGCGCTACGGAAGAGCAGATTGCGAGCGAGAGGTGCCTGTCATCTTCCCTTTACAAGCTTCACAAATTTATTTATCGTGTGATTTTGGAAATAAAAGTTTCATATTCTGAAAGCCAAGACTTTGTTTATTTAAAATCAAACAAAACACCCGAACCCCAAAAAAATAGTTTTTTACGCAAATCCACGTTTATTTTGAAATGAGCCACTGCGACTTCCGACTGATTTCGATAGAGCGGGTCACATTTACCTTAAGTAGCTCTATGACATTGTATTATTCTTGTTAATGAGCCTTATTGAGAGAACAGGAAGTAGCTGGCTCTTACTTTGTCGCCTTTAGGTCCTGGATCCCCTTTGTCCCCATCTGGTCCCCCTTTACCCTGTAAAGAATTCAATGTTCAAAACCAATAATGTTTTGCATTAAACATGTTTGTAAATCTATAGAGAGAACCTACCGTTAAACCGGGAAAACCCATAGGGCCCTTTGTCCCTAAAGCACCCTGTAAAAAAAAGTATTCAAAATGTATTACACAGCATTGTTCAATAACAGAATTTTACACTCCCCTTTCTGAATAGCAGACTGATTTCACTTGTGTCTTATTTCTCTGAAATGTGTCTTCCATCAGAGTAAATAAGAAACACAGTGGCCGTTTCTCGATCGCGAGGATATTGGCTTCATCGAGTGCCGCCGAAGGACTGTTCCAATCTCCAGCATACTTGGAATTCCACCGAGGCCGTGTCATTGGTTTGGGGGAAATTTCGAGGCTGCACATGGGTAGACTTTGCGTCCTTAAAATCCCCACAATGCTTTCCGCACGGACCAATTTCAAAAACCCTTGCGGAGAATGGCTGAACCGACGCAGCACACCTTTAAATGTAAGTATGTAGTGGCGTAGAACATGTGTTGGTAAATATGTTACTTTGTTACATTTGTTTGTTATCACCAAAAATGTGTTCCGTGAAAGTAAAGCAAGTTCATAATTAGATAGACATCGTGAGGTATTTATTTTCGGTACAGTTTATGTTGAAACCGTTAGAGAGAGTGGCACACTTGTTAGCCTGTTCCATTCTTCTTCGTTTTCCGAAGCTGTGGCTTGGAAGCACACTTGCTTCGTTTCTGAAGGAAGTGACTTGGAAGTACGCGACTACCAAGCCAGCATCCTCGTGATTGAGAAACGGCCAGTGACTTCAGAGTCCCACAGCACCATGTCCTGATCCACTGACACACTACAAACAGCAGATGGCACTGTGAGGCTGCAGGATGTTTCTGCAGTGCCTTCACAACTGCTTGTGACACCTCTGTCTACAGTGTGTGTGTATTTGTGTCTATAGTGCATGTGTGTGACTGTAATGTGATGCAGTAATTCACTAAAGAAAATATTTAAGTACAACTCACCATTGGCCCCTCAAAGCCGGGATCCCCCCGGGCCCCCATTGGCCCCACAGGCCCCTGATATGAACAGAAAGAAAATAAACGCAAAATGAAAAAGAGCGATAAGATATTGCATTTTATGCAGACCTAAATGTGGATGTATTACTTTGGAATTGCCTTATCTATAGAATACACAACAGATTGAAGCAAACAGTCTATAATGCTAATTGTCCTTAATCAGAAACATAAGAGCAACAGTGAATGTAATGTAAGTTAAATAACATACTGGTGATGGAAGGTACTCTTATCTGGAGCAGCGTAATGAGAAAGCTTCTCACACTGTGCTTGGGATATACACTTCCTGTTTTCTTGATAAGCATGAGCCATTTCTTTATTTTGACAAAACTCTGTCCAATGTTCTTTTAATTAGATGTTGCTGTCTGAATACATATTTGCTAACCAACAGCTGCTATCTAAATGCATCATTGTATATTTATTGTCTTTTGGTCTCCTGTTACTCTTTACATTTTGTCCTCAGCCATGCATGTGCAATATACTGAATTAATTTCAATTCTTTACAACTGAAAAATCATTGTCTTAAAATTGTAAAGCAGAGCCTTTCACATCAGCTGTGTGACTTACACTTTGTGCAGCTCTGTTCAAGCTCAACACCTTAATCTCCTGTGCACTGTTTTAGTTTAGAAAACAAGAAACATTAACTTTAAGAGAACACACTTACAGGTTCTCCTTTAGGTCCAGAAGCCCCGATCAGTCCTGGATGTCCCTGTGTAAATGAACACATTAACCTTCTGCACTTTACTGGTGAAAAATGAATGAAACAACACCCCGCGGTCAAACGTCTTGCCTTGAACTGTACTCACTTGGAGTCCTCTGAGTCCTGGAGGTCCCATCTGTCCCTCTAAACCTAGAGGCCCCTAGTCAAGAGAAAAGTAAAGTGCCAACACAGTCTCTAAACATGTCCAGCAGGTTGAATAAATGCAGCGTATATACAACCAAAGCAAATGTATACCTGTGGGCCATTGGGACCAACACTGCCAGCAGGTCCCATGTCGCCCTGGAAGAAACAATAAACCGTTTTACACACACAGGAAGTAACCTGCAAACTCAGTTAGGACACTCAGTGTGAGGTGTATGAAGCTTTCCAGACATAAAGGATAAATACAATAAAAATTATTTAGCTTAATTTTTCATTTTACACATCATACGTTAATTTACAGTTACTCGTTTCTTTCCTTGTAAATTACATTGTTGTTGATTGAGAAAATAAACAATCTAAGGATGGCATCTTTGTCTGGAAATTTGGAAGTGGACAGTTTTTACTCATTTTAAACAATTACCACTAAATCTAATAATCCAAAATAGCTTTCACTTGCACAATAATGAGTGGTTATGGTGTAATCTTACTCTTGAGCCATTCATTCCTTGCGCTCCGACTCGTCCTGTCATACCCGGAGCACCCTGTGAGACACACACAAGCAGTATATAATTATGAATATATATATATATTCATAATTATAAATACCAGACAAATATTGTATCATAACATCGTGTTTGCTTACCCTCGGCCCTGCAAGACCAGCGGGACCATCCAGTCCACTCTCTCCCTGGAGACAGGTTCATATAAGCATGAGTGATACATTTTCCACATTGTCCATCAGTTCCATTGTCCATATTCAGAGGGAAATGCATAACCTTAATACACATCATTGAGACAGTTGGTGCAGCTGCAAAACATGCATAAGATGCCTCCCCTTTTCCAAAGCATTCTGTGAAACGCTTAAGAAAAAGGTGGACAGATATTTACCAAATATCTCCAAAAAGCAGATCTGGCAATTGCAAAATACGACATTGTAGTTCCAAAGGTCAAATAATATATATATTTTTTATTAATACTTTGCTTTACATGGTTAGCTTTGTGGCTAAACCAGAAAAAGAAGACAAATTCAAAATAATTAATTTCGGGGCTTTTAATTATTATTATGTTGTATAATTATAATAATAATTCTTATTGTTTGGTACACAGGTCACTAGATTCAGTTGCTGTTGAAGAATAATGTCATGACTGAATTGTGGTGGTTGTTGAACTAAGCCCTTAATGTAAGAACCACCACATGATAATGTAGTAAAGCAGTGGTGTACTAGTGTGAAAGGCATGATCACTTTCACTTATAGAAGAATCATTCAGAATAGTGCAAAGCTAGAGATCTACTTGTGTAGCAGCTATAATCAGACGGTGCATCACTCACATCAGGCCCATAGGGCCCCTCTGGCCCGCAGCCACCTCGGGTCCCCTGAGGCCCCTGCAGAAAAGGATTCAGTGTCAATTTAGCAACAGTATATCATTAAAATACATAGAAAACGCTGTATTCAAAGTAAGGTTTAATCATAGAGATTACAGCATACTGGTCACAGTGCCTGTGTTAATACTACGAGGCAGAGGTTCTGGTTTCATGTCAAACTGAATCAAAGTAAACCCAAGGATAGAGGGAAGAGAAAATGGGAGTCAGCGCCTCGCTGCCTGGAACTCAAAGTTCAAAGAGGGACTGGCTTAGGGATTAAAAAGGATTCAGAGGAGCACGTCTTTCTTTCACAAAAGCTTATTGTTTTGTTTTACACTCGTTGGATATGTAAGAAAGGTATTACAGAAGAAGGCCTGTTTTTTTCAATGTTGTTTTAAATGCATCCTGTAATGGGCTGGCATGTTGTCGAGTGGATTATATTGTAAATGTTGTTTATTTATAAGCATCTTTATTGCACAGATAAAGGAGAATTGCTTTCTGATTTTGAGTGTAATGTAAAATCCCTGCAGAAGATCCTGGTCTGTTGCAAAGAAACTGAAAGCAGGGGGTAAAGACACTCACTTGTAGTCCGACAGGACCAGGAGGGCCAGATAAACCAGGTGAGCCCTAAACAAAGAAAAACACAGTACAAGATTATACCTCTATATCTGGTTGTTCAGGCACTAGTGGTGCAGGAATGAGTCCTAAAACGTTGAGATAAGTTAGCATTTTTCCAGTTCTGATTCCCTCGTATTAAAACCTACAGTTTTTTGAATATGTTTTTTCGTTATCTGCCTGAAATAGGGTCCGTGGTTAATACAAGCTGAATTTGTGTGTTTTGTTCTACGACATTAAATACGACAATAAATGTCTGTTGACAAGAATACGTCATCTCTGCACCACTCAAAAGCAATCTAGACAGTTAAGAAAAAACTTCATCTGGATATATTGACATTCCTTTTATATATACAAATATTCAGGAGGAATTAAACATTAATGATATTTACCTTCTCACCAGGATCACCAATTTCTCCTCTTGGACCAATGACCCCAATGAGACCCTGGAAAGGTAGAGAAAAAACATGATCCAACAGCGTAGTAGTCATTTCTAACTCTTGTCTCTTTGTTTATTCTTCAAACATGAGTCAATCAATTTCATCTAGGCAACATGTTTAAAATCAGAATGAAAGTTATTATGCTATAAGAGTCGGACAATGGATCACATGACAGCTTGTCAAAGTATCTTACAGTGATGAACCCAGAGAGAATACATATTTTCGCTCAATTCTGCTGTTCACGTTAGCTCTATAGATCATATTCTCACCACTCTTAGAAAATGTTTTATGCACCAGCAGGTGAAAAACAGGACACTAGCTGCAAGGCATCGTACAGCATATAGAAACAGTTAGTAACTAATTAGCTAGGTAACATGCTAGTAACATTTAGTGGCTAAGATTCTCCCACAGGAGTTGGAGGAAACCAAAAAGAGAGAATACTGTAAAGTGTGAAAATGGACTCAGTGTGACAATCGCCGGGTGACACAATTTCACTTCGTCTTAATGATAATGTTGTTCTGTATCTGCTAAATGTGTAATCCGGCAACTGTCCGCCATATTAACTTAAATTACGATATGTCATAGTTGTCCTACCTCAGTAAGAAAGGTAGGAATGTTAATATTTCAAGTCTCTTTTTTTCATTTGTGAAATTAAGAGTTTTTTTTTAAAGTATGGTATTTTGGTACAAATATCAAAATTAATTGAAATGATACCAAGGACTATTTGGACTTGTTGAAACTGCCCCACAAAGTTAGGTAAACATCTGAGAGCTGAATTGTTAAATTACGGCCGAAAGATTAGCTGAAGCTAAAACTGCATAAAGTATAACCATTCCTGCTTGGCTCCAATTTCACCAACAGTAAATCTGAATTAAAGTGGGACTGACTTGCTATTTTTACAGAAGCAGCTGTGCTGTTTTATTCCTCACCTCATCACCTTTTTCCCCTTTGGACCCTCGTTCTCCCCTGTCTCCCCAGGTGCCCTGGTGTCAATCAGAGAGGAGATGGAAACATTTCAACAGTGAAAAACACATCATGTATCTGTCTGTTGACTTATGCTTTAACTGTTTACTATAGAGAATGTGCCCACCTGTAGTCCATGATCACCATGTAGCCCCGGCTCACCGTCTACCCCATTTTCCCCGTCTCTGCCTGGGGTCCCGGCCTTTCCTGAAGGGCCCCTGAGACCCCGCTCGCCCTGAAAGAAAACATGAATGATCACCACTGTTGATACTGCTTCTTTATCAGCTTAGTGAAAATGTAGGATATGGTATAAGATACGTTAAGCAAACAATAGAAAACTGACAAAAACAAACTAGACACACAAAGAGTGACATCACAATGGCCTGCAGGCGCCGTGGACTTCTCACTGGGAAAGCTGCGTTATAATTTATAGGTCTGTAGTGTGAAGACATCGACTCTTTTCCACTCAGTGAGGCCATTCATCACACAGACAAGGCATCACCTGAATAACAACGCAGTGTCAGGAAGATTGTGGCCTGCAATAACTCTGCCCGAAGACAGGTGGAAAAACGGCATGTTTTCACAGTGAATGGCTCCACCACCTGTGCTGGCAATGGACGGCGTTATATTTTATGCTGTGACAATGATGGATGCTGTTACACATGGCGCAAATGGTATGATGAGTGAGATTTTCAACCTCTCCGTGCAGTTGTAACATTTGGAGCAATAAACTCTTTTTCAGGGTCATCCTGTTACATGCATGTACATACAGCAACAATAGTTTTCATAAGCAATCCTTTAATTGTTCATTTAGAGTATACAATATTATAAGGGGTTTAAGATGACATTGTCAGGGTGCTTGTCTTTATCCCACCAACTTCCAAAAGCCTAAATAAATTATATTTGCAGATACGTCAAATAGAATATTAGCAAACTTGGAAAAGCTGGAAATGAATAGCTTGGCATTTTAGTTTCACATTTAATGACCTGAACAGTTATTAAAGGTTGTTGCTGATACTTGATTATCAATTTATCACTTAACACAACTGGAAGCTGCATGTATAAACACAATCTAACATTTGGCGTAGTAGTAGTATCCCCTCAGTGTTTATTTTTTCTCTTATTTCTTTCTGTCACCAACTAGACCTACATTTATCCTGCTGATCTGTGAATCAAAATGACGACTTTCAGACAAATTCAGCCCAAATCAGAAGTGTCAAACACAACGTCTGCTAAAGGCTCCAACATTACCCTCTGGATGACTTTGCAAAGTATGACAATTGCATACAGTCATTACTATCACTTTTCAAAAAATATGCACTGCTTTTCCTATTTGTCAACTGAGGGTCGAGCTGTCATTTTAATAGGCCCTTTTATTAAAAATCACACGTGCTTAAGTACAGCTTCGTGACACAACACTGTGCAGAGAAGGGTAATGTTCATGGTGGACAAGTTATGTGTAAAAAGGATAGAAGAGTACACAGAGAGTTTGGCTTTCCAATAAAAAATATTCACAGAGGTAAATGCAAAAGCAGTCTGCTTGATGTATGAACTGCCTCTTTCATTGCTCAAAGCAAAAACATTTGGAGACGGTCTTCTTTAGATTAGAGGAAAATTGCTGAAACCAATAACGTTTTTCCTAGATCAGGAAGTGACGGTTTCGGTGCTCACCAAATCTCCTGGCATCCCGGGTCTTCCACGATCTCCAGGTTCGCCAAGTGGACCCTGAGAAAGAAGAGCAACAAATACCACTATCACCAATTCAGAATTCCATATTATCTTTCTAAATGCTGCATATTCTGGTACACCATTTGCATTTATATTTGTGAATGGATGTTTTACCTGCATGCCGGGCTTGCCCATCTCTCCGGGTGATCCTTCAGGGCCTTCTCTACTCTGCAAGCTCACAAAGAAGATACCAGCCTCAGGTCAGCAGAGTTACAGAACAACTAAATCCCAACAACAAAGGATATTAATGGTCACAGAATACTTACAGGCCAACCAGCACGAAGTAACTGGTAGAAATTGCTTTGCTACGGGAGAATAGCAACACACAGGGTAAGTTACAGGTCCAGAATACAAAATAAACTGAGAGGAAATAAAAGTACATGGATGGACAACATACAACTGTAATTGCACCATTTTCTCTGAAAATCCATCCATCTATATGAACGAAGTATGAATGCAGGTTAGACCCACACAGAGTTCAAAGTACACTCAATACAAATCGTCTTCCCAAACTACTAACAGACTTCAATTTCTCCGTTTTCTTTTGTGTAAAGGCAGTTCTCCATCATGCTGACATACAGGTGGGTGTCTTCTATCACATACAGCTGTGGCCACTGCAGAGAGATTAAACAGATGAGGACAGAGCATCGGCTTGCACGCACCAATAGTTCATGGTCTATGGTTTTATGGTTCTCGGTAAGATGGCGCAGCCTCGAAGAACATTTGATGTTCAGTGTGTCTTTTAGATTATTGACAATTAATTACTCAAGGGCTTAGAGAGAAGAGCAAGAAGGATCCATCTTTTCAGGGGACGTCCAGTGGAAAGATTTTTAAAGGAACATTAGGAAATGTGATAGCTTACGAGTATTTACATCAGAAAGATACATTACATTCTATCATATCCAACACAAGTGAGTTCAGTCCAGGATGTGTTAGCATAGCACAAGAAAAGCAGGCCTGAGAAAAGCAGTTAACTTTCTTTAATAGCAGGAAAATGCATCCCCTAACAACTCAAACTGACCTATACATATTTTAATGTCATATCTTGTTAGCATGCTAGCCCCCCCAGCATCCAGAAACAGCTGGTTTTGCTCTCTATAAGGAGAAGACTTCTGACATGTTCATGTGGTCTCAAGTGGCCACTTGTTTGTCAGTAAAGAGTCCCGATGGGTATGCTAGTGGCTTGTTAAATCCCAATATCTGACAGCTTTAAAGTTGTTGAAAAGCACTTGAGCTAGGCTAGCAGGCCAGTGTTGATCGAGGCTAAACCTGACCCTGTGCTGTCTCTTCAGAAACCTTTCTCACGTCTTGGCAAACACATAGAAATGCAATGTTGGATGAAAAACAATTATAAAATCTCTTATCGCTTCATGAAAATATTGCCTTTTCATCACTTGCCGAGTGGCTAAGAAGATGTGAAATATCTGCCTTCCCTCTTTGTTCAGCCATTGGCATTGAGCCTTTATCAGGGTCTTTACTGAACAGTTCAAAATCACACACTAGGTACTGTATACTGGAGGCTGTGGCTCAGTGGATAGTGTGCTGGACTTTGAATCAGGGGAGAGCAAGTTTGAGTCCCACTGCAGTCAGCATGTCGTTGTGTCCCTGGGCAAGACACTTCACCCCAAATTGCTCCTGTGGGGATTGTCCACAGTACTGAATGTATGTAAGTCGCTTTGGATAAAAGCGTCTAACAAATGTAATGTAATGTATACGACACAAGGTTGATCGAATCTCTGTCTATTATCTAATAAGAACTGGGCATATAAATGGTGCTGCATTCAAATTATGTTGTGTTTATTACAACAAAATCACTAGTGACATGTGATTAAAATGGCTAAAAATAAAGTGCAAGAATTATAAAGCACATGTATTAAATACATTTGAAATCTCTTTCTAAACGACTACATGTAAATATTGCACCTGACCGTTTAGAAGTATGTTGTTGTTCCCATCTTACCTGAAAGGCAGCCAATTCCTCGGCTGTGTTCTTCCACAGGTAGAAGGTGGGAAACCCTGGCGGTCCAGGAGGTCCTGACTCCCCTCTTTTTCCTGAACGCCCTTCAGAACCCAGCTTACCCTATGAGAGATGAACAGAGGTGGGAAGTAGTGGAGTACAAATACTTCGTTACTGTACTTAAGTACATCTTTCTGGTTTCAGTACTTTACTCCACTACTTATTTTTCTGATGACTTTTTACTTTGACTTCTTACATTTCTAACACAAATACCTGTACTTTCTACTTCTCACATGTTGAACACAAATACCTGTACTTTCTACTTCTTACATTTTCCAAACAGGCTGGTTCCTTTAGTTTGAATGTGTGTTTGGTGGCGTGATCATTATTATTTAGAGTCATTGCGTGCCTATTGATTTGAACACGATCCGTGTATCCATCATTTCCTGGTCTTCTCTAAAGAAGAGGGACCAATGAAAACGTTGTCATGTTGCCGTTGTTCAGCATGGAAACATTCATTAGCTAACAATGACATTATTGTTCTACTAATATAAAGGGAGGTCAGGTACTCTTTAAAACAGCTGCTAGTTATGGGTACTTTTTACTTAAGTACATTTCAAAGCCATCTTTACTTTTACTTGAGTAAAGAAGTTTAGTCAGTACTTCTACTTTTACCAGAGTATTTTTAAACACGAGTATCTGTACTTCTACTTGAGTAAAGGATGTGTGTACTTTTGCCATCTGTGGAGATGAAAAGGAAGTGGTTCGTTTATCCAAGACAAATCAATTTATATGGAACACTTGTTTGTTTTTTTAATATGGCATCATAAAAGTGATATAATACAGTATTGGGGCTCAGGCATAAATTATCAACACTTGGGCCCAATGGAACAGAGGGACAGGAGTTTATAGCACTATTAACGTGTCAAAAGTGAAAATGAGCTTTATAACAAGATGTAGCCTCAAATTCTATTTAGTGTACTCAAATCTAAAGGAGTCAAGTGGACTTACTTAACACATCGTCATTGGTTATTATCTCGTAAAGAAACACTTACCTTATCACCTTTAAACCCAGGCCGGCCAGGATCACCAGTACAGCCCTGCCAAACAAGTAACAACCTTCAATAAAACAGCTCAGAAGGGGAAACACAGGGGGGAAAATGAATACAAAAACTAATTGAAATAGTGTTTTAACCACAAGTGAATTGTTGGTTAAAGTGAAACTGTTATATCTTTAACAAATCATCCCAGAAATGTAAAAATAACAACCTTCCTACTACTCCCAAGAAGGAAAGACCTGCGACCTGACACACAAGCAAAGCACCGGATCCTTGTAAAACCTCACAGTTTGTGGCCTTTTTGAGCGAAAGACACATTTTAAGTATTGTCCACAACACCTTGAATGCCAATTAAACACTAAGATCTTATGGCTTAATTAGTACTTAGATATACATGAATTGTTTGTTGAAGCTGCATCTGAATAAATACATCTCATAAATGTTACCACATCTTTACTATGGCATTTTCCTGGAACCCATTTAGGTGATTTTTTGTGAGCTTGTTTTTACTGAAGGTTTACATAGTAGTGCATATGCATTGAAATAAATAGGCAACACGGTGTAAAGACAAAGCAGTGAGGCCATTATGTTCTCCATCTGGACATCTTGGAATGTAATACCGCACTAATGCAATCGCCAGTCACCAAAGGAAAGCAACAAAGCCTGTGGTCAAGTCATAATTCATTACAGAAAGTGTGTTGGTGGTCAGTTTAACTCATGGTTAGGTAAATGTAATGAATTGGTGGTACTGGTTCTATTGTTACCATCAATTTAATTCACCCGATGAATTGATTTAGAACAGTGGTTAAAATGTTTGCTTAAGGCAAACAATTTCAACATTTCGAGGCAGCTGCCAGCCAATTAGAGAAGAGCATTTCCTGTAATTTATACTTGTAGACAGTAATGCTACAGGCTAAGGCATACTAAGAAAAGCTAAACAAGTTAGAGCTGAAGTGCAGCAAGTTAGAAGAAGAGAGAAGGATTGTATTCTGAGCCAACAGGACGTCTTCCTTCATGTTCCCTACAGCCGTCTTTAATCACAGTAATCGTGCTGAGTGATCCTGCGGATTTTATGGCAGCGTGACTTCAGAGGCTGGTCCAGACATGAGCAGATGTGCAGTCTGGTTCTGGTTCTGTCTGCCCTGCAGTCCCTGTACTGACCCACCTCTTACACCAGGTAAACCATCAGATTGGATGGTATAAAATGACTCTACCCATTAGTACCAATCACATAACTTGGCAGCCAGAGGCTGAGACTGTCATATTGAGTAATGCTATGACAAACTGTTGAGACTCCTTAACTGTGCGGTTCCCTGAGTGCTCAGATCGCTGCATCAAAGACATGTGGATCAACACATGTTTGAGCAGTGTATCCTTGCCCTGATCAGAGTCAGATGGCAGCTTATGGAGAACAGCTCTTGTAAGCCGTAAAGCATAAACAGACGTCACACTTTCTTCATTCACAAGGCTGGCCCCTAACATTGTTTTATCTCATCCAACAACAGAAATCTCTGATATGATACATAATATACTGTTAAATCAATGGGAATCAAGCCCCCATTTCTTACGCTCTCAAATCTACTGTAGCGCTGAGAGGTGTTGTCACTTGGACAATAGTTAAATGCAAACTAATACAATGCCTGGAATAAGATCAGATGATACGGTTCACTGGTAATGCTTGCTAAACAATGTCAGGCGGAATCTGCCTCTGCACAAAAAGTTGGCAGTAAATAGGCACTAAGTTGCTGACTGACAAGCCTAGGTAGGAAACAAGGTCCTTTATTTGACTGTTGTTTGGAAAAGAATACATTGATTACACTTATGTTATTATAATGGGTAATGGAAGACCATAAGACAACTCACTTCCTGCCCTGGGGGACCCATTCGGCCTGGTGGTCCTCTTTGGAGCCGGTACATTTTGCCATCTGAGCCCAGGACCAGGTCTCCATCTCGGGATACAGTCACAACGGCAGAGCGCTCCTTGTCTGGATCTCTACCATTGGTGATGGGTCTCCCCTTCTCGACTACTGCCTTTGTTGGTGTCCCAGAATCCGTGGAAGTTCTCGGATCCGAAGGGATCTTAGGTACAGGCAAATCCACTGAGGGCTTCTTCGTGGTACCCCCGATGTCCAGTTCAATGATGTCACTGGATGGTTTCCCTGGGAACAATGATGACGTTCTCCCACTGGAGTCAACCTTTTCGTCTGTTGTTATGTTCTCCTCTATCATTTCAGGCTTTCCCTTCTGGCTTCCCTTAAGTCCATTTCTGGAAGGTTTCCACTGAGGGTTGACTTGTCCGCCATTTTGGAAGGTTGGATCCAACAAGTCGGTGTCCTCATCTACCACAAAGACATCCCCACGACTCACTGAACCTTTCCGATTGGTCCCTGAAGGCACCGTCCCGTCCCCGCGAGAACTCCCTCGGCGCAGAAACATATTCTATTGGAAACAAAACAAGAATTAGGGACAATCCGATAACATTCTTTGAAGATTTTCAAGAACAGATTTCTGGCTGATGATGTTTTAACAAACATGTGAAGCAACAATAATCAGGTGGACCAATTTGGTGTTATTAGATCAAAAAATTCAAAGTCATTATTTTAACGAACACCATTCCTACTTTATAATATCTAAACTCGTCTCCTACAACATTCAAATAAAACCACAGCTTCAAAACGTATTCCCTTCTTGAAAACATCATCAACTCATCACTGACATCTGGCATTATTTGGTCTGCCTTCAAGTTATTAGTTTCTCATCTGTTCATGACAATAACTCTTGACCCATCTGCCAATATGTTATAGACAGAGAGTGTTCTTTCTAAAACGTGTTGCCTATAATTAACATTTCCGCGGTTTACACTGGGTAGTCTGTTCGAGCCAAACTACAAAACATGTTTATTGTTAGCATCGTCCACACTGAAGCTTTACGATTCACTATTGTAGCTCAGGAATCACATCCACATTTGCAATTGTGTAACTATGTGCTCGGGATGTCATTGCTGTTAAGCTATGGACAATGACAAAAAGGTCATTTTTTTACTCCTCAGGTTACAGCATGCATCTATGCTTATCTAGTTGTTATGTTGAACAAGTTAAAAGTTAATCTTGATATGTCTAAGCTTAACTTTTAAACAAGCTTCTTACTTCAAGACATTTTCCTTTAACAGTGGCTTTTATAATAAAAACTGCTATAAAATAGTTTTCACTGTAAATCAGTTTGTTTAGGAACACCAGCTGTCCCATTGCAAACGTATTCATATTGACTTTGAAGAATCCCTCAAAACAAACAGCAATTTAAACTTATCTGGTTTCCAGAGGTGACAAACAACATGCTAAACAGTACGACCCAGCATTATCCTTTGCTTATCATAATGCATTACACGTATACACATAACAAAACACATCAAATGTTGGGCCTCAGGGAACAGTGGTGCAGTGAGAGAGGCCTTTCAGGGGACGGGACCAAAGGGCAGTAAATTATGTTTGATGACCCTAATGGGCTGAAATGGAGAGCACTAAAGTGGAGCTGAGAGTCATATTGGAAGCAGGAGAAGGAGAGGGAAACAGGAGTGTGCAACCTCAGAGCTTTTTCTCAGAGTGTCCACACATCTACCCATTTTCTTTCCAACCATCAATACGTATTTGCATCATCAAAATATGATAAAGGGACAACAAGTCATAGTAGTAATTAGTAACATTACCATATCTACACTATGTACGATTAGTTTGCTCAAACACCTTTAGTTCAAGATGAACTGGTACTGTACAGTATTGTTAATGCTGCCAACCTTTAAAAATGACCTCATTCAAGATGTGCTTTATAGGTCTGCAGAGTGTTCATGAATTAAGAGTAAACTGAAATCTGTGTCCTGAAGCGCACAGCATGCTGGAGGTGAAACATGAAGAATACAAATGGTAATAAACACATTTTATGAATCAGCATAGTTGTCACAGAGGGGATCTTGGGTTTCCTGTTTGGTTACGGGCATTTGTTGGGCAGAAATCCATTTAGCATGGTCTGATTGTGTTATCCGAAAGAATGATATGCCCTAACCTCACCATGAAATTATCAACTGAACTTGGCTTGCGTTTATATAATATGATAAATTAGAACAAAAGCCAGTCTTAAATACTGTACTTGCAATGAAATCCGTTTGTTGGAGGGCTGGCTGGGTATTGTGAGGGCTTTTAAAGGGCTGATGATGGCAAGAGGCCAAACACAGCGGCCTTAGGGAAAACAAGGACCCTTTCTCTCTCTTATTTTGGTCCACAGCCAGGCAGCCGGCCCTGATAAAAAAGATGATCTTCCCACCAGTCTTAGAGATATTTCTATGAGCCCTAGCCCAGGGAACACTTAGTTGGAGAACTATGACACTTTGGACAGTCAGTCGGAGGCAAATTGCTTTCAAATATTCTTCACAAAAGAAAGACGTGACAGAATCAGTTGAGCATAATCTGCGTACCTCTGATAAGAGAAGCCATGAGAGCAAATGAAAGAGCTACGTGAATTGGTTTACTAAGAAAAAAGGGAGGGGACCCAGGACGGAGCCTTGAGGGACCCCAGTGACCAATGACAAGGGACAAGGATGTGAGCAGGGAAAGTGCGAAGCATGAGACTCCCAAGTTCTTGGAGAGAATTATTAATCATGCAGCAATCTACATATTTAATGTTCACATCTTAAGGTATACACAATACACAAAAAAGGGAAGTTCCAGCAAAGGCTCAACCAAAACAAGGCGGTGACTTACTAGGGAAACAAATATGTCTTAAAGCTCACAACTGAACTATAGGGCCAATTGGGTAAGGGCAGAATAGACAAAGAGTAGATAATGCCCAATAGTCTGAGTACTGCATCGGGTCGGTTATTGGCCAGGAAATCCGCAAACGTTTTGTAAAGAGTAAAGCCTACAACTATACAAATTCTAAGGAGCGTTCCAAAATGTGTAAAAAAGATAAATGGACTGCACTTTAAGGGCATTTAACTGGTAAGGAAGGTGTAATAGAAGGTGCTTTTGAGATGCATTGTGGGAATTGAAGCACTTGTATATTATGTATTATATATGTATTGAAGGTTTAATGTTATCGGATATGAGTTGCATGCCACCAAGTAATTTTCTTGTCAAATAAACTCTAGTAATTCCAGTGAAAAAACTATTTATACCTTTGTAACATGAGCCAAAACAAAGTTAACACTAACTGTCTTTCTGTCTACACTGTAGTAGCAGGCTGAAGCAAGCAATGGCAATGACACTGTGTGTGTGTGTGTGTGTGTGTGTGTGTGTGTGTGTGTGTGTGTGTGTGTATCCTAACAACACAGTCTGAGTGAAGGCATAATGCAAGTGTGTAATCTATAGGTGAACAAATGGCAGACAGGGTATCCAGGGGTTCAGTCTGTGTCAGAATGCATGGCTGCAGGCTGATGAACAAACTCCATAATGCTTCCCTAATGCTCCTGTCAGATGATTTTCATTATTAGTCTTACTTAAATAGAAGGTGCCTAAGGTCATGCGTATGTACTTTCTCATATATCAGCATATTTAAAACCCTCAGGCCTCAGACAACCAACTTATAATGTAACTGCTCTCTTCTTAAAGTGGCATTTTTGTTTCAACATGTTGATGGCACAATGTATTGGCTATAGAAAAATTACACAATTGCTTTTACAGTACATACTTTGGCTTGCCACTGTGTATGTTGTTCCGGGGAAATGATGTTCTCACAAAGCCTTGAAATACAAATTGTAGCAGTGTCCGCTTTGCATTGTTGCCAACTAATTGCAAGAGGAAAGGGAGCCTGTGCTGTTGGCAGAAGAGCCTTTGAGAACATTTTAAGCAGCATTATAAGGACTTCCAATATAAAACATTTGAGTGAATCTTCTACTTTTTCCCTTGGTGGTCTTAATAAGTCACTAAATGGGTCTGGTATAAGGCTCTGGAAAAAAAGATGAGCGACCCAGTGTTCTTTACCACAGCAGAAAGGGAGAGGAGCGTTGTCTATTGCCACTTTAATGTGTGTTCAATACACTATACTGTCAAACAAATGTTTGGTCTGTGGTTGCTTTGCATGTTTTCATTGTATGGGTTCCTACTTCCAAAAGGCCAAAATATCGCTAAAGAATGCAATCATATTTTATACAATAGCGTGTTTCCAGCTTCGTGTCAATAGTTAATAATAGGGAATGCTCTTCCCTGCGTCAGCATGACAATTACCTCATGCAGAAGTCAAGGTCAATAAATCTTGTACATTTGTCCACACATATGAAATAATTGAAAACAACTGACTGAACTGAAAGAATAAGCCAATGCACTCGAAGTATTAAGCCTGTGCCAATGTATTTTCTTTCCCCCTAATAAGTGTTTCCAACATTAAAGACAGCCACTGGTCTTACTTGCAGGAACTTGATACTCTCTGACAATCACACAGTCACATGGTTATCTTTTATATGTGTCTTAATTACAGCATCTATGCATGCTTATACAGTTAAAAACATCTGCCAGTGCCACTGGGAAAATGTTTGGATACATTTTCTAAACTCTTCTTTTAAACACGTACTTCATGAGGTTATTATTGGTCACCTGAATATGGCTGTATACAGTACAGTCACATCAGTTCATTAGTTCAAAAACATATTCCAAAGGATATTACGGAGCCCCCAAGGGGACATAACGGAAAACATGTTTGAATAACTTTCTGGTGCAATGGAGAAACGATGCTGTGCTGTCCAGAACGTTTATTGTGTTGTCAATGTCCCCTGAGGGGTACGATATATAACAGAACTTGAAGATTGTGACTCAACTTCTTAGTAACTCTTGAGCAATATTTGTGGGAAAACCAAAAAGCATGAGGACAGAAGTTGACAGGGCACACCTGGACTAGATGGATGGTTTGGACAAATGACTGTGTCCTCCAATCAGCACAAGCCTCTTCAGGAGTCTGTCTGCATGTGTAGCTGACAGATCCTCTGTTTAGAGGGCAATACATAGTCTATGGAGGCCTCATATCCTGACACAAGCACTGCAGGCTATCCTGCTATCATCTCTACACACACACAGACACACAGACAATGAACACTTGCTCCTACAAAATGGCTAATCAAATGTCAAGGTCCGTAAATCTAGCCAAGACACAGGTATGCAGACTGGCTGGGTCTTGCAAGCAGCAGTGAGCAATTTGGCCTGTAAAAAAGCATGATGACAGGGGTCTGATGTTTCAGGAATAAAGGACAGGAGTGTGATTTAAGTGTAATAAAAAACTGAACAATATGAGCAGAACTTTTATATATGATTAGTAAAATACTAGATGAACAAAATGTTGCCTGGGAACTTGAAACAAACACAAGGAAACCAGCAACAGGACCCTGCCAAAGTGAAGACAAGAAAAGTGAGTTATGTGTATTATTGCCTCTGATATGATGTAGACAAGGCACAAAGCCAATT